TAATAAAGGAATGATTGTCAAGGTAAAATTTAGTATTTGTCAAAGTAATGAGACTTTTAATCCTAATAGCCAAATAGATAAAATATTTTCTTAGAGTACATTATCATAAATTTTAAAGATTCTTAGAATATATTTTGAATAATGTAAGAGCAACTACATCGCATATAGTGTATATGCTTAAATATACACTTTATGCCATTTACTGATTTACTATTCATATTATTCCTCTCTAATTATCTAATGGTAAAATGCACTATAGTGCAAAATACCACTCCCACCTCCTACTTCTACAAGGTCACTATTGCTCATCTTTTTCTTCTCTCTTTTTTAATTTCCTTTTCTTCTTCTCAATTTACTTCAAATTCGTCCTTTTGTTAATTCATTTCTTCATTTATTGTGAGTTAATTTTATTTCTTTTACATATCCTAATTTTATTTGTAAGTGGCATTCTCCATTCTAATAATTAAACTATGAATTAAAATAAGTATTATGAATAAATAACTTGGAATAATAAAAAAATTAAAAAAATGTATTATATACTCCGTAGAAGATATGATTGGAATAGTTATTAAAAATTGGGTGTGTATAACATTGATAGTGTAAAATTGATTTTACACTACCAGTTTATACTCTATGCACGGGAGATGCTCTAAGACCTTAGAGTTTTTATAAAAAAAATTGGGAATATCAAAGTTTATAATTCAGATATTATCAGATATGAGAGCAATTAACAAAACGGCCCGGTTCCATGGACAATTGAATCCAGTGGCCACAGAAGCCACTGCCCCTACGGAACTGCGTTCATAAAATTTTTATGATTCCTAACCACTTAAGCCCTGTAAACCCCGCCAAGTCCCGACATACTACAGTAGTTTTTTTTGAGGGAGAAGGGAGCACGGGTCGAAATTGAGATTCCATATCTGTTGACTCTGGTTTACAAATTTAAAATTGCAGATATTTAAAAGCGGAATTGGATAATACGGAGTTATAGTTCGTATTTTAAGCATGATCTTATCCAGCACAGATATCTCCTTAATCTAATCCAAATTTAACGTTTTTTGTTGGCATTAAAATCTTCAACCAGCCACTCACTCATAAGGATTTTCTCAAAACCTTGACGATTGATGACAATGGAGGCTTCAACACTCCCCCGTGATGCTCTGTTTTTGGGCTTTGATAGTTCAACTCAGTGAGTCACTCTTCCTTCTTCTTCATCATTCTTATTGAAAAATGTCGATCACAGGTTGTGATTGCCCTTGTATTGAAACTTTATCAGCCATTTAATAGATTCTTGATCACAGGTTGAAGTTTTTACAAAATTATTTAATAAGAAAACTCTGATATGTTCAGATTTGTACGATTTGAATTCATTAAGCTTTGGGTTTCATCATAATTGCGAAGAATCTAATCTGATACTAAGAGCAAAACGATTGTGTGTTCATTTGTTTGATTATTATTTGAATGTTAGATAATTTATATTGGGGTTCAGGATTCCATCTTAAAACTTGGGAATTTATGTGAAATTGGACTCGTGTTTTGGTATTTTTAGGTCAATGAAAGTGAGTGTGCTAGATGCCAATCTAAACATTGTCGCAACAGAGATGGTTAATTTTGATTCTGAATTGCCACATTACAAAACCAAAGATGGGGTTTATCGGGACCACACGATCAGCGGGAGAATAGTTTCACCCACATTAATGTGGGTGGAAGCTTTGGAACTTGTCCTCTGCAGACTTGAGGAGTCCAAGTTTGATTTTGGGAAGGTCGCTGCTGTTTCGGGCAGTGGGCAGCAACACGGTAGTGTGTATTGGAAGAAAGGGAGTGGTGGAGTATTGTCATCATTGGATCCCAAGAAACCACTGGTTGAGCAGCTGAGTGAAGCTTTTTCTACCAAAGAGTCTCCCATATGGATGGATAGTAGCACCACAGAGCAGTGCAAGGAAATCGAGAAAGCGGTTGGAGGTCCAATGGAGTTGTCTAGAATAACCGGTTCTCGTGCGTACGAGAGGTTCACTGGCCCACAAATAAGGAGGGTATTTCAGGAACATCCTGATGTCTATAAGAACACCGAAAGAATCTCACTTGTTAGCTCTTTCATGGCATCCCTGTTTATTGGGGGTTATGCTTCCATAGATCACACTGATGGGGCCGGGATGAATTTGATGGATATAAAGCAGAGGGCTTGGTCAAAGCCAGTTCTTGAGGTTTGTCTGTAGAAACTACTAGAAAGTCTCTCTACAACTTGAGAAATAATGAATGGATGCCCTTCAATGACAATGTTTTTTTTTTTGTATATAGGCTACGGCACCGGATTTGGAAGAAAAGTTGGGGAAGTTAGCCCCTGCATATGCTGCTGCAGGTTACATTGCTCCTTATTTTGTGGAGAGGTTAGTGTCTAAGTGTCATGCAAACTATTTTGGAAAAACCTAGGTACCCCAAGTTGGTGTACACCTAGGTGTACCCTAGGTGTACACCAGCTTCTCACAGACATTCACAGAGTGGGTGTGAAACACAGACCGTGGGTGTCTGTGTGTGTCTGGGAGAAGCTGGTGTACACCAACTTGGGGTACCCCTATCAAACCCCAACTATTTTTTGTGTTTGTTGACGTATGCTATTTAAGACTATTGATGACTATATATATTGGCCACTACATTTGAAGCACCTTTAAAGTTTACTCTACATTGAACCTTTCATGTTAAAGGGTATTTAAGCATTGATTCTATCCTCAACCCAATTGGAGGATTTGTCCAAATTCCTTTATTTTGGTTTTTATTTTTTTTATTTTTGGTGAATCAATAGACGTGGGATGACTTAACGAAGCGTCTTAACTTGACATTGACTGTGTCACTTTTAAATGAATATAATTTGTAGGTATCACTTTAGCAAGGACTGTTTGGTTATTAATTGGTCTGGAGATAATCCAAACAGCCTCGCAGGTGAAGATTTCTTTAAACTTCAAATTTTCTGACTTTTATATTGGTAAAAAAAGTGATGATTGAATGATATTGTGAACCTAGGTTTGACTCTTAACACCCCTGGTGATCTGGCAATTAGCCTCGGCACGAGTGACACAGTAAGCTTCTTTTTACCCCTTGTTTTTGCCATCTTTGCCCTCAATGCAGCCAAATTAGAGAAGTTGACTAGGGTAATATTGTAAATTTTGAATGATATTCTTAATCGTTGTTTGGATAGGTATTTGGAATCACCAGTGATCACAAGCCCAGCTTAGAAGGGCATGTCTTTCCTAATCCCGTGGATACACAAGGTTACATGGTAATGCTGTGCTATAAGAATGGTTCACTCACTCGTGAAGGTACATATGGATATTAAATCTACCTTAGCATATGAAGGATTGGTTTGAACTGAAATTATCCAATCATTGTTCCCTGTTTGATTGTTGACATGCCTCCATAGATATACGTAATAGGTGTGCACAAAAATCTTGGGATGTCTTCAATAAACATCTAGAGCAAACACCTCCTCTTAACGGTAAGCAAAAAAATTCCCCACATAACTACTTACCTCTTATCATTTGTTGGTTTCATGCAATATGTGATATCTTGCACTTCCATAGGTGGCAAGTTAGGCTTTTATTATAAAGAGCATGAGATACTTCCTCCTCTTCCAGGTAAGCTCAGTCATTCGGTATTACATTTCAGTCGAACCTACAATGTGTGGAGGCAAAATCTAAACTAAATAAACAAATAACCGTCTAGTTATATGCCGGAGTATGTTGTTAATAGTACAACACCACCACCACCAACAACAAATTAGTCAAAATCCCACAGAATGGGGTCTGGAGAGGATGTGTGTACGCAGACCTTACCCCTCCCTACCCGGCAAGTAGGTAGGTTGTTTACAAGAGAATACTGGCTCAAGATGCCAGAACACAACTATATTTTTTAGAGTATCACATTGAAATATTAAAGAGAAAAAGCAGACTTTTGAATAGAATTTGTAAGACCATGAAGTTGATTTGTGAATAGTTGGATATCACCGCTACGTTTTGGATAAATTCACGGGAGATACACTTGATGGTGTGGAAGAACGTGAAGTGCAAGAGTTTGATCCTGCTTCTGAGGTCAGTACCCTGTTTAGTTTGAAGCCAATTCTTTTAACTTTCTACTATGTAACTTCTAGCCCAGAACTCGATGGTCTGTTCTAGAATAATCCATCCTTATTGAGAATAGAAATATGCTTCCAGGTTCGCGCCGTGATTGAGGGGCAATTGCTTTCTATAAGAGCTCATGCTGAGAGATTCGGTCTCCCTTCTCCTCCCAAGCGAATGATCGCCACTGGTGGAGCTTCTGCCAATGCTGCCATTTTAAGCATGGTGGCATCCATTTTTGGGTGTGACGTTTATACGGTGCAAAGGCCAGGTTCGCGCTGTGGTTTCACTTTTTGTGGTCTTTAGTTTCTATCATTGACCAATCGAAAGAAAGGGTTTTTAAAAAAAACATTTCTGGAACAGACTCGGCCTCACTAGGGGGTGCTTTAAGGGCTGCTCATGGTTGGCTGTGCCAAAACAAGGGAAGCTTTGTGCCCATTGCGAGCATGTACACGGGGAAGATGGAGAAGACGTCACTCAGCTGTAAACTCGCAGTAAAAGCAAGGGACGATGATACACTTGGTGCTAAGTATGGTTTGCTGATGAAGAAGAGAGTTGAAATCGAGAATGGGCTTGTTGAAAAACTTGGGCGCTTGTGAGCTTTCTTTCTAGTTTTGCTTTTATAGCTTGCCTTGCAGGAACCATTTTCATGAACAATAAGTTACTGATGAGGTAGACCATTTGTTCACACTGAATTTTCCATGTTTAGTCCAATAAATTCAAGCATTTTTTATGTATAGTTCTAATGAAAATCTGAATTTTGTTTTCAATATTTTGATATATGACGACCTTTAAAATTTACAAAAATTACGTGTGGTACACACTGTTTTATTTAGTACTTTCTCTATCGCAAAATGTTCTTCTCGTTCACTATTCATGGTTAAACTTTATTTACTTTATTTATTTATTTTTCACTATTTATTTTGTATGGGAGTAGAATATAACTATGTCATCACTTATTTTGTACAATTTTTTATATAATTTTTAAATATATAAGTTTTATATTAAAACTTTATACTTAATACGGAGTAGTAAACACACGGGAGCATAAGTGGATGTATTGTTGGAATTGAAATCTTTTGTAAAGAATTTTTTTTAATTATAAATATGAGTAAAATAAGACTCTACTTTTGTGACATTATTTTATGTTATTGTCATTGAACTCGGACCTAACGAGATAAGTTTGTGATAGATTATTGAATAAACGGATTAAAGTTTGAGATTATTTAAAAAACGAGTTAAAATTTGAATTATGATTGATCAATAAACCAGGGAGTCCAACAAATAAATGGGTTGGTCGATTCTATGCTAGTATGACTCAAGATTAGATTGCTATCCGGAAATGAATCAGAATTAATTTTTGACAGTTTTTGACCTTTTTTTGACGGAATGAATCAAATAGTACCGCCGTAGATTTTTGTCATCATACCGTAACCGTCTCTGCGCCCAGCTTTATTTCATTTCACAGCCCAGCCCACGCCAGACCACACCACTCTCTCCTTCTCTCATCTTCTTTGGGTTTTGGGTTTTGTCCTTTCCTCTGCATCCGCCTGCAAATCGGCGATGGCGAACCCAAGGTGCTTCCTGGACATAAGCATTGGGGGAGAGCTGCAAGGCAGGATTGTTGTTGAGCTTTACAAGAATGTCGTTCCCAAAACCGCCGAGAACTTCCGTGCTCTCTGTACCGGCGAGCGCGGCGTCAGCCCTCACACCGGCGTAGCCCTCCATTACAAGGTATCTCCTCCATCAATCTCGATTTCGTGAAAAAACACGGTTCTGATTATGTGGTTTAATCGACCTTCTCTTGTTGATTTTGTTTTTGAATTTCTCAGGGAACTTGCTTCCATCGTATCATGAGAGGGTCAATGATACAGGGCGGCGATGTTTCCGCCGGGAACGAAACCGGCGGAGAGTCCATTTACGGGCCGACATTTGAAGACGAGAACTTCGAGCTGAAACACGACCGGAAAGGGACGGTGTCCATGGCCAATGCTGGCCCAGACACGAATGGCTCTCAGTTCTTCATTTCCACAACCCAACAGTCTCATCTCAACGGGAAGAACGTGGTGTTTGGGAAGGTGGTGAGAGGACTGGGGTTGGTCCGGAATATCGAACGGGTGCCCGTTGGGGAAATGGGCTGTCCAGATCTTGAGGTGTGCATCGTGGATTGCGGCGAAATCCCAGAAGGGGAGGACGATGGGACGTGTAACTATTTCAAAGATGGTGACACTTTTCCTGACTGGCCACTCGATCTTGATGTGAAACCAGATGATGTTTCTTGGTGGATTTCTACTACTGGAAGTATCAAGGATTTTGGGAATGCACACTTCAAGGTTCTTATATGCTACTTTTCATTTCCCAGTCACCTGTGGGATAATGTTTGTTGTTGTTCTTGTCCCTGTGTTTTTATCCCTTGTTTAACTTGAGGTGTTATGGTTTGGTTGTTTGTTTTTATGTGGTCGTTTTTGGATGGTTAATAGAGCCTAAACCAACCTTTTTATTCGTATGATTATTAGTATTCCTAACATTTCTTTCATGTTCTTCCCACTTAGAAACAAGACTATAAAATGGCTATAAGAAAGTACTACAAGGCTATACGATACTTGGACATTTGCTGGGAGAAGAGTGGGATTGATGAAGGTGAGTTGATATATTTTTGGTTCATGACATTTGTTCTCTGCACTCTTTGTAATTATTAATCTTGTTTTGAATCTTTGATCGGACTGCAGTGAGTGCCGAGTTCTTGAGGAAAATGAGGTCCAACATATTCTCAAATTGCTCTGTAAGTTATTCACCTCTTCTCTTGATTGCAGCTTTATTTGCTCCTTTACCATGTTATTATGATGTTCTGATAAAATCTGCTTGTTTATTAGGCATGTAAATGTAAGCTTGGAGATTTTGAAGGAGCACTGTTCGACGCTAACTCTTCCATTTCTGATGTTAAGGACAACCCAAAAGCTTTTTATCGCCAAGGGCAGGTTGGTCATCCTCCCAGCCAGCATTGGGACAATAGTTTAGCTGTTTAGTGAAAATGTTGGTCAAAATCTTCAAGTGGTGTATTTAATAATTTTCAGGCATACGTGGGGCTGAAGGCCATAGATGCAGCAGCTGAGAGCTTTACCAAAGCTTTGGAGTTGGAGCCCAACGACAGTGAGTGTCTTTAGGATTCCTTTCATCAAAATCCAGTAAGCAATGATCCGATTCGATCTCCCTGTTTTTTTTTTCAGGTGGTATAAAGAAGGAGCTTGCTGCTGTGAGGAAGAAGGCAAGTGCTATCTACAACATCCTTTCGTTCTATTTTACTGGAATTTTGTATATGTATCTCACTATGTTGCGTTCCTTCTAACAGATTACTGATAGACAAAATCAGGAGAGGAAAGGGTACTCGAAAATGTTCCAGTAGCTTCATTCCTCAATGATGGTAAGGTAAGTGGATGCTTACATTCAGAAGTTGCAAATAAAAACTGGGTATTAGTCCCTCACGAACATCGCTTATTTGCAGGCTGTTATCCCAAAATCTGTCTTTTCTGGTTTTGCGAATGTTCAAATGCCAATGCTTGAACGGAAATTTTTGACTGAACCTAAAGCTGCAAGGGGTGGAGTAAGTTGATTACGCGATGTTGCAAATTTAAGAAGACTTGTTTTTTTTGTTAAATATCATCATCACCCCACCCCCTGTGTGTATTTTTGCATACACTTCTGCTTTCATCCAACATTTTTCTTTTGGGAAAATATATATATATATATATATATATATATATCTGAGATATACGTACATGAATGGTAAATGAAACAAGTTTGTGGAATATAATGAATTTGGTTGTTGTTGTTTTTTTTGCGATACTTATTTTCATTTGAAAGCAAATTAGCGAAGCGAGTGAGAGCGTTTCTCCATTGGTGCCCCCTCCCCTTGAACTGCATCATGTCTAGATTCACACTAGAAACCAACTTCTTCAATAGATCATTAGTTACCAATCTTTTCAAGCATCTCCATGTCTTCTGTACTTGCATCATCAACTGATGATGTTTGTTCATGTGAGCATAATATTCCTCCTTCGAATCATATGCCCCTCTTCGGTCTTTGCTTTCCCGGTCCCCACTCCCCAGTGATAAAACCATCAAACTCCCTTGATGCCAATCCTCTCCATATGCTCAAATTGAAAGTCATCCTTCAATATCTACTTTGTTCTAAGAGTTATGGGCACCATTGTCTGTCATACAAAGGCATATAACAGGTTCAGATACATGTGGTCTTAACTACTCTTAAGGCAACCTAGGCAGACACCCACCCCCCTCCCCAAAACAAAATTTAAAAACAAAAACAAAACACAAAGAAAAAGATTACATGGAAGTATATCTGAGGAGGAATTCTCAATGGATTATTGGCAGCAAAACCACCAACAATGAGATTGAAGCTATTTAAAACTCCCTTTGAGCCTTTGGTCTTGAAACCACCTACTAAAATATTTTTCCTTAAAAATGATTTTCTATCACTTAATGTTACCACTACAAAAAACTCCCGGAATTGGCACGGAATATTAGGCACGGACATTCCGTGCCTACGCCGAAAAAAAGAAAGATGACACATGGCGTGTTTCTATTTGCGTTTTACTTTGGCTCTGCATTTGTCCGTGCCTAATTCCGTGCCAATAGCGTAAACGTTAAGACTTTAACGGTGTTGTCGGACGGCGATTATTCTAACTAATATGCACGGATTTAGCCGTTCCAATCCCTTACCTTTCTCTTAAAAGTCAAAATCGAAATTGTTTTGTCATGGAAATAGTCGTGCCTAAAGCCGTGCCTCTACCCGTAGTACATAATTTTATTTATTTAAACATTTAAATCATACTCATAACAAAAAACTTTTATCTTTTAAATATATTAAAATCGGAAGATAACAAGACTAAAATTAGAGAAGAGTACATCAGGGCCGGTCCTGAGGATTCATCAGCCTGGGCCGAAACAAAAAAAAGGCCCTAAAAATCTTTTATTTAATGATCTAAAAATTCACATATGTAAACTAATTATATCTAAATAATAAATAACGCAATATTATTAAAAGAAAAAAATAAATGACAAAATTAAAGTGTTATAATTACATATCGTAAAACTAAGGCACGGATAAATCCGTGACAAAATTAAATTTTTTTATTTTTTGGAATCCAAGGCACGGATATGCCAGTGACAAAATATTTGAATTTCGAAATTTAATCCCCGCGTATTTGAAAATTTTGAATATTTTGAAAATTTCCAAAATAAAGGCACGGATATGGCCGTGACTAAAAAATTGAATTTCGAAATATAATTCCCCGCGTATTTGAAAATTTTGAAATTTTTTGAATATTTTGAAAAGTTCCAAAATAAAGGCACGGATATCTACGTGGCTTTTTTGGCACGGACATGTACCGTGCCTATTACAATATTTTATAAATGCTATCGGGACAAAAAAATCCGTGGTTTAGTCGTGCCTAAATATGAACGGGGCGATTCCCACGGGCAGATCCGTGCCTAATATCTTTAACGTTATTCTTGCAACCGTTACTTTGGAACGAATTTGTTACAAGCGACGCCGTCTCTATCGTTGGCACGGACGTGATTTCCGTGCCAAACAGTTTGGAGCTTCGAAATTGGCAGCCTTTCGTATCCGTGCCTAGTAGCATAGCCACGGGAAACTAAGGGGCTGTTTGTTTCAGCCTCTTAATGGTTCAGATGTCTGAATGGTTCAGCACTTAATGGTTCAGACTGTTTGTTTCAACCTCTTAATGGTTCAGATGTCTGAATGGTTAAGAGATTTGCCTCTGAATGGTTAAGTATTATACAGAGTCTGAATGGTTAAGACCTCTTATCTGAATTGATCAGACATTTGTCTTTGAATAGTTAAGCAATATACTAGCTCTTAATGGTTCAGACCTCTTACTGGTTCAGCACTTAATGGTTCAGACCTCTTACTGGTTCAGCACTTACCCATTCAGAATTTGCCAAACAGCCCCTAAAACTGTTGTCCGTGCCAAAAGCCGTGCCAATCCCGCGTTTTTTTGTAGTGTACCAATAAATTAGAATTGAATATTTTTAAAGAAAATACGGAGTATTTTTTTTCTCCAAATAAACTTAGCCTAAATATCAATTATGTACTATCCTCTGATTTAAAATTTAGTATCTCCAAAGCAGTTAATACAATGAAAGACAAATAAATAGTCAAACCAGGTTAACAATGCCAAAATTGTCCGTGCTAATGTTATACTGGTAGTGAGTTATGGTGACTCCTAGCAAATGCTTAAATTTTCCACGCTTGCAATAAACTGACATCCAAGTCTAATTTCAATTTTCTCATATGATTGTTCCATTTTATTCTGTCCAATTTTACATATTTTAATCAACAACCTTCCAAGAAGTCACCCTTCGTATTTAATTATATGGAGCAGACTGATTTTTCTATGGTGTAGTCCTCACCGTCTCTCAAATTATAAACATTTTTCACAAATCTGTGATCAAAGCCTAATTTACTTCCTTTCAGTGTTCGTTTGGCCGTCTGAGGGACCCTCAAGATGTGGTTTATCCTTTTTTTTATAAACAAATATTGTAATAGCTCTCGAAAAAATTACGAAATACTCCCTCCGTTCCGGAGTATTCGTCCAGTTTTGACTTTTGGAACTGTTCATCTAAGCACTTTGACTTATCAAATTTTCTCAATGTGTAAGCCTAAATATAGTCATGTGTGATCTTGTTTGATTTGTCTTAACATATAGATTATTAATATATAATTTCTATAATTTTTTAATATACAAATTACAAGATAAAATGGATTAAATAAGTGCATTGGATGGTGTGTAAAAATGAAAGTGGACAAATACTCTGGGACGGAGGTAGTATTCTCTAAGTTAAAGATGGTAGTCAACATAATGCATGAGTTGTGCAAGTTGAACATGGTGCATGCAAAATAAGTTTTTTTAAAAAAAAATAAAAAGGTTGAGTGGCTTAAATGATTGTTAAGAAAATAGTGCTGACTTTCTTAGTAAAATAGTGTTGAAATTAGTTGTAATTTAAAATAAAATTTTTGAAATTGAATAAATATTGACTTGGTCTTTTTTAAAGTTGAAAAACGGATTACTCTCTCCATCCGGAAATGATTTTTTCATTTAACTTTTATTCGTCAAAATTTGTAAATTCTGACCTCAGTATATAGAAAAAATATATTGTGTTTCGATATAAATATAATATCAATAGCTCCCTTATGAAATGTAGTTTTGAAATATCAAATCTTCATAAAGTATATTCTTATATAAATATAGATATTAATGATTAAAATATTACATTAAAGACCATATAAAATCAAATGAAAAATTATTTCCAGACAGAAGAAATATTAAATGCAACAATTTTAACTTTTTTCTACAATTGATTACACGGTGGATCCATTGGTCAAAACAATCAATATCAATATATTACGGAGTAACATTTAACACCATCTATATCTTATCGGCCAACTATAGCATTCATTACGGAGTAAATGAGTAATTAAGCAACACCAGCTTTTTATGTCTCATACACGGATACACCCCAATCCAATTTAATTGACTTGACACTGAAATATTTGAATTTGAATAAAAAATAGTTTTATCCCATCTTTGATTTAATTTGTTTAAATTAGATTTGAATCAGAACTAAATCAAAACCCAAGCCTTATCATCATCATCCCTACCTATTTATTCAAAGGATCAAAGCACGTTTAATTAGGTAATCACTCTCTATTTTATTCACTCATAGAGCAAAACATTCAGTTTGACAGATTTATCTGTTTGCTTTCTTCTGTTTGGGCAATCCATTCTAATAAGTTTCTTCATGATTTGATTTTATCCACTTTTTCTGTACTTCTTTTCATCTGAAAGCAGCTTGGCGAAGCGGGTGAGAGCGTCTTCATTGGTGCCCTCCCCTTGAACCGCTTCATATCTTCCGCTGTCCAAATTCACCCTCGAAACTGATTTCTTCAGCAGATTGTTGCCAATCTGTTCCAGAAGGTCCATGTTTTTCGCACTCGCATCGTCAACCGATGACGTCGACCCTGTGAGCATGTCATCCTGTCCAAACATAACAAATGTTGTAACAAGTTTGTTCTTTTCCAAGACATATACTCTCTCCGTCCCAAAAAGATTGGTACATATTAACTTTTTGGGAAATTAATGGAATGATATTTTGGTGTTAACTTTCCAAAAATACCCTTGATGTGATGGGTAAAAGTAGGATGTGATGGATAGATTATTAGGAAAAAGGTAGGGTATGAAAAAGTAAGGGGTAAAAGTGGTTTTTTAATAGAAATGTAACGGACTTTACGGAACGCAGTTTTTTCAAAACGTGTCGGGACAGAGGGAGTATTTTACCTGAAGAATTAACATAGACGTATACCAACCATTCACAGACACACACGCATACACTCAATGTCTTTGGAATGTTTGGTGTACAAATAGGATACCTCATTTTGGTGTACCCTAGCATTGCCAGTACCTGAATTCTAAGATAGTTTTTCTCGTCGCGGAGGGATTGGAATAGGGTGGAAACATGAATGTCGACCATATCAGCACTGGCAGCTCCATAGATGTCTATCAATGGAGTCCGGCCGTTGTTGAAGACCCAAGCGAGGGAGCCCCAGGTGGAGGCCGCCGCGGATGTATACTTCTCTTCGTTCTTTGCTGTCCCAGTCCCCAGCGATAGGACCAACATTCTTTTGGTGTCAACCCTCTCCATGTTCTCGAACTGGAAGTTCCCAGTCATCATCTCCTTTGAGAGAAGGGTTATGGCCATCATTGTCTGTTGTTACAAATTCAACCAATTAAGTCATCAAGACATTATATATAATTGATTTAGAGATCACCAATTCAACTTTGAACAGTTTTTGATGAGTATATTAATTAGAACAAGACCACATATGTATAGTGAGTGTATAATTTATTCATTTTATAGTTGATATTGTACTTAGTCTCACACTCTCACACCACCTCAACTTACACAATAATTAGCCCACATGAAATGTGTTTGATTGATTTGATCTAGAAAGTAAGTTGAAGCGTCTCACATCGGAAATTAGAGAGAAAAATTAATCGGTATATAAATTATTGACTTGAACTAAATTATACAGGGTAGATTAAATTCACTCTTTTAATATGATTCGACTTAAATATCTTATGACCTAATCTAATAACTTTTGCCTCATCCTGAATTCTACTACTATTATGGTATCAAAGCGAATTCTGATTCACCTCGTTTGTCAAGGTTTCTACTAAAAGTTCATTCCTAATGACCCTATCCTTTGCCCCAGTTGTCCTTGTGGGGTGCCCTAGTTGTCCTTGCGGGGGCAACTAATGTTAGGGAGACACCAACATAGGTATCTCATTTGTACACTAAACTAACACAGAAACATGGGATACCCTATTTAGTGTCCTCTAGTATTGCCCTTTGAGGATAGAAAGATCTATATTTTGCTCTGGTTTTTCGTTACCGACATTTTTAGTCGAGTCTTTTGACAGAAAAGGGAAAATAAAAAAATGCATTGATAAGGAGTAGTCCTTCTCACCGGATTGTTGGCAGCAAGTCCGCCATCAACGAGATTAAAGCTATTTACGCCTCCACTTGAGTTTCTGGTCTCGAAATAGTAAGGCGGGAAGAACGTCGGTGCCGCCGACGTACTCAGACATATGTCGGAGAGTAGTGCATTCTTCGCCGGATTTGCTTTTGCCTGCAACCAAGCACCAGATGAATTTCTTCAAGTCTTATCAATTTTGCGAACGAAACACCGGCAATATGTGTGTGTGTCAGTGTGTGTGTATATAGATAGGAAGAAACGTACATCGGAGGTGGTGAAAATGATGGGCTGCAAACGCTTGATGTCAAAAGTAGGAATGACGGTATAAGTCAGCGTCTGGTTCATCGTCGTGTTCCCAAGCAATCCCCTCACCAGTGATTTCAGATACTTCCCGTCGTACTTTGGCCCCGCCAGTAAGTTCAAGTTGTTCCGGCTTCACAAATCCAAATCCAAACCCAAACCAAACATGTTAGAGGCGGCCCTGATCAAGACGTTATATATCAATCAAAATTAAATTGAGTTTGAAAAAAATGATGATGATGATGATGATTACGTTATGAGAGGGAATATTTTGGGCCCGTTGTCCTTGTAAAAGGGGGTGATGTTCTTGGCATCGTAGAGGGGACGGTTGTCCTTGTTGGGAGCGGTGATCATGGTGGTGACCAGCCCCCCGGTGCTGGTTCCGGCCACCACGTCGAAATAGTCGGCGATCCTGGCGCTGGGGCCGTCCAGCTCCTGGAGTTTGGATTCGAGAAACGCCAGGATGGTGCCCGGAATGATCCCCCTTATTCCTCCCCCGTCCACGCTCAGAACCGTCACCATATTCGCCTTCGTCGCCGCCGCCGCCGCCGCATGAGGAGGCCCCAACAAGAACATCATTGCCATGAAGGCCGCCATCGCACGCAACAGAGCCATTGTTTGCAATAGAATTAATTGCTTGTAACTTTGGTAAAATGATGGGTGGGTTTTGATGATGATGATGATGGTTATCTTCAATCCAACTCAACCCATATATAATGGCGATCTAACGTAAATGGCCCACCAAGTCAACCATTTATTATAATGGAGGGGGGGGGAGACGATTTCCTGGGGAGTTCACACCCAATTTTCACATCTGACAACGAATAAATGGCATTGGCGTGAGGAAAAACAGGGGAGGATAAATAAGGTATAGTAAAGGTGTGTGTGTATGTGGGTATGATCTGTCGACGTCGGCCACCGCCGGATGGTGACATGCGGTGGGAAATCACGTTGAAAGGCAGAGGATTTGGGGGGATTTCCAATTGGGAGGTGAAACGTGTACAGAGTTTTGAGCGGGGCAGCATTATTCATTTAATGCTTCTTCTAATTTAATGTTTCCCCCCAAGTCAATCATTATCCCTTTTTATTTGCAACCACCTGTGGTGTTTGGGTTTCCCCTCTTTGTTTCTATTCTTTTGGGGTAAATTTAAACACATAAATAGTCTTCAGCCCTATCCGCGGCTTTGTTACTTGTTTCTATTACAGTTAGTTAGTTTTTAGTGTTTTGAATATTTATCGTTTGGAAAGTGAATTTCAAAAGGCTAATTATGTGAGAAAATTACTAAAATGGCTAATCGATTGCTAGTCTTGCCAGTTCACCATATTTCCTGCTAAAAATTTTGTGGGTAGAATTGACAATTCGGAATTCAGATTCTAAGACGCGAAGTTGTTAGTGAAACGCCAAGGGTGAGACGTTTCGCGTTTGGCCCAGAGAGAATTTTGGAAAGAGAATATTGACATTTGGTTTATTACTTTCACATAGGAAACAAACACCTAATAATAAGAAATGAGTGCTTCACTCCCATAATGCCAATCCCAAACAACAAGCCCTCTATTTTCTACATTACACATGCACAAACACGAATCTGAGCTAGCCAAACCACCTCGCAACTTTTGGGCCAAATATAATACTTGTATCCACTCATGAAGGTGTGCCCAACATATCACAAGGCGTCCTGGTCCAAATTCTTTTTATTCACTTCCTCATTGTCAAAGTATTTGTTTACTTTAACTTTTTAAATTGGCTAAAATCCATCATTGGTCCTTCAACTTTATCAGTTTTGCATGATTGGTCCTTCAAGTTTCAAAAGTTCATAGATAGTCCTTCAAGTTTATGAGTTCTGCACCATTTGTCCTTCAAGTTTCAAAAGTCCATAAGTAGTCCTTCAGGTACACGTCAGCCCTCTATATGAAGTCTTTTTGACAGTAAATATTAAAAGTTAAACGAAATATTAGTTTCATATAATACGAGTAAATTCCATTAGGCACGACTACTCCGTATTATATAGAGCTAGTATTCCATTTAGCTTTTAACATTTACTATCAAAAGGACCGCATCTAGAAGGCTGACGTGTACTTGAAGGACTATTTATGCACTTTTATAACTTGAAGGACCAATCGTGCATAACTCATAAAGTTGAAGGACTATCTATGGACTTTTAAAACTTGAAGGACCAATCGTGCACAATTGATAAAGTTGAAGGACCAATGATGGAGTTTAGCCTTTTAAATTAGAATATAGACATTTTTATTAACAACTATATTAAATTTACATTACATATTTGATAGGTCTAAATCCAATATTGATTGGTCTAAATCAGTCAATAGAATCTTCAAAGATCTTGGTCAACTAATTTAAACCGGTGAAATATCTAATAAAACACGGCCCGACTAATAGAGGATCAACGTTTGTCACACTTTAGGACTTTGGGGTTGATTGATCAAGTGAAATTTGCACTGAATAGGACTAAAACATAAGTCATTTCCCAATGTAGGGCTTAAACTTTTTTATTCCCTAAATAGGACTTAATAATGTCTAGTGAGAAAAATAATGCCCAAGTGATGCTAGATATGTAGTTAATAATGACTAATAAATAATGACCAATGGTCCTACATTGGAAAATAAAAAATATGATCCTATATTGAGAAATTCATTATGTTTTAGTTCTATTTAGGTAAATTACTCTATAATTTTATGCTTTCAGGACGTGCAAATCAAATAAGTTTTTAACACCGATGGATGATTTGATGATTGAGAGCTACAATTGAAATATGTAAATGGGTTCCAAGCAAGTTCGGACGATCCTACTTCCTCCGTCCCAAATTATTTGTCACATTTCTATTACCGAGGCAAAATATCAAGTTTTTTCAATTCATTTTATTTACATATTGGTAAAGAAATAAAAAATAAAAGCTACATATCAAAAAACTACATGAAAAGTTTTTCGAAATAAGAGGTGTCAAGAATATTTTATTTTATCAAATAACCAATGAAAACGTCAAAATAAACAAAAGTTCCTGCGACCGCTGAAAAAGCAAATGTTGTGAATATTTAGGGACGAAGGGAGTATAATTGAGTAATACTCCGTACATTTTAGTTGAGGTCACATCATCATATCGTGATAGGCAATATACACAAATCAAACTTCATGTGGCTACAATATGCGTATCATATTTATGTCCATAATAAAGACATCATGGTTTGATCGGTTTAATTGATTATATCACCAATGTTAATAAAATGGAATAAAATTTCTAATGTATTTTAGAGATAAATTTAATTAAATCATTTTTATACTCATGATAAAAATTAATTATCTAATTGTACTATATTCCGTAATTTAATCTACAATAGCTAGTTAGGAAAATGGTCAAATATCAAATAAATTAACTCAATCAAGTATTCCAAACAAATCAACACGAACAATTACTGTAAAAAAACCCCAAACAAATAGTAGTAGACTAGTAGTGAATAGCCTACCTAACAAGACCCTTATTTGGGGATCATATACGAAGTATGGGCTATGAGCATATCCAGTACTATTCCGCACTAGTCGGTATGAAAATATGGAACCCGGGGTACAATTCATTAACTACTTCTCCGACACGAAACTAATTCGACCGGCATGGATGAGTCAACTAGTAGTTGGACAAACTCGACTATTAATTAATACTCCATTCAATCTCATCAAAAAAAAAGTAGAACTCCCACCTCACACCAAGAGGATAGTGAGTGTGGTAAATTATGGTATAATCTCAATTTGATTCTTAGAAAGGCCGTCCCGGACGCACAAGCAATTATTACAAATACTCCGTAATAAAACTCTCACATTGTCGTTGTCAGAATCCGACCCTAAGATCAATGGACTTGATATCCTCTCCTTAGACCAATTGACCTACCTATGCGGGCTTATTCAATCTCATAAAAAAAGTTACGGAATATTAATTTCTAATTTGACTTAAATTATATTCAAAAAAATTTAAAAATAAAAATATTTATTTAAAATTGGTTTAAGTAGAAGAGACATCACATAACACTTCTGTCTCTCATGCCACATCAAAAAGGTAGGGATTAGAAATTATTATCTCCAATGCTTGGTTCCTCTTTTTTCATGCCACAACTACAATTATACTCCGGGTAGAATATAATAGTAATTAAAATATCACATAAGAGATAAAAGGTAAAAAAAAGAAAAAAAAAGAAAAAAATTACTCTGTAAAAAATGAAGTGAAATGAAATGGGACGGCCCTGCGACTCTGCGAGAGAGAAATAAGAGTTGGATTGGACTCATTTTTCTTCAGCAGTGGGCATGCTCTAGGTCCAGTTCCTTTATATGGAGTATCAGCGTTTTGGGCCGAGTAATTTAAAGGTCTAGAAACTTAAATTTAAAGTACACATATTTTTAAAAGTTACTAGTGGATAATATTTTTCTTCCGTTCTAATTAGGATAATTTATATAAATAAGCCTAAATTATACTCCGTAATAACTTTCTTAATATAGAACCATATATTTTTATTTTCCAATGTAGGATCATTGGTCATTATCTATTAGTCATTATTCAACTAAATGTCCAACATCACTTGGACATTATTCTTCTCACTGGTCATTATTAAGTCATATTTAGGGAATAAAAAAGTTTAAGTTCTACATTGGGAAATGACTTATGTTTTAGTCCTATTCAGTGCAAATCTCACTTCTAATTAAAATTTTCATTTTAATTCTATTTTGTAGTCTCATACTCCGTTTATTAGAATTTAAATATGATTTTGAATAAGTAAATGTTACTGAGTATACAAATTTGATGTATCAAAAGTACTACTCCGTACATTTTAAAATAAATCCAAAATTATATTAAATTTTATATAAGTGAAAGTATTTTTTAATAATTTTTTTGTCAAAGTGATAAAAAAGTTAAATTATAAGATGAATTCTCAAGTGGATGAAGTATACTCAAAACAAGTCATGTTTGATGATAGTGTTTTCAATTAGTTTTCGTATTTTGGATAATATTTTAATGATACAAATTAATTTTCAAAATGCCAAAATTAATGATATTTTTATATATATTTTTTTAAATGTCAAAGTAAAACGCTAAATTTGTTACCAAATAGACACACATAGAGCTGGCAAATCGGTCGGTCAGGTCGGGTTCGGGTTCGGTCACTTCAAGTTCGGGTTATTTCGGGTTCGGGTCAATTCGGGTTCGGGTTGAGAACTGTATGTTCATGACCCAGTGTCATCGGGTTCGGGTCAACCCAACGGGTTATGACTTTGGTTTTTTAAATTTTTAAAATCACATTAACGCTTACATTTTCTATTAAATAAATTTAAAATATCAAAAAAAAGTATTAAATCTATAAAATTATTTTATTTTAAACTCTAAAGTAGTTTTTAGATATATAAATCAATATAAGGAATTTAAAAATGCTTAAGTTTTGGTAAAAAGTAAGATAATTATGCAATATCATTAAAATTTTGTCTGAAAATATAAATTTATACACCAAAAACGAGTAAAAAAGTGTATAATTTTGAAAAATTCTTACTCTAGCGGGTCGGTCAGGTCGGGTTCGGGTTCGGTCGGGTTTGACCCATTTTTAGCGGGTCATTTCGGGTTCGGTCAACTTCGGGTTCGGTCATCAAAACCTTTGTTCAAAACCCAGTGTTTTCAGATCGGGTTTCGGATCAAAAACAGGTCGGGTCACTTTTTGCCAGGTCTAGACACACACCACATTACATATTCCAACACACCTTCTTTTGACTTTTTTATATTTACAAAATTGCTTAATGGTTAAACAGAGACTTAGGGACTCTGTACTAGACCTGACAATCGGGTCAATTTGTTTGGTTCTGGTTCAGGTCTCTTTCGGATATGTGTTATAATCGGTTCGGGTCGGTTCGGTTCGGGTTAGTTCGGTTCCGGGTTTATTTTGATTTGACTGGTTTTCGGTTCGGTTTCGGTTTCGGTTTGGGTTTGTATCTATTCAGGTTTATATCGGTTCGGGTTTGTATCAGTTCGGGTTTGTATCGATTCGGGTTTATATCGATTCGGGTTTGTATCGATTTAGGTTTATATTATTTCATTTAAATATGTTTTTTTAGAAACACATCAACATATGTAAAAATATATCGGTAATTCTTTTTCTCCAAGTTCATTTGATAAATGAAATTTTAATAAATTTGATCCATTTCGGGTCTAATCGGTTTCGGGTCTAGTCGGTTCCGGGTTTAATCGGTTCGGGTTTAATCGGTTCAGGTTAAGTCGGGTTCGGATCTAAATCGGGTCTGAATACATTCGGTTCGGTTTCGGTTCGGTTCGGATCATTTTGGGTGTTCGGTTCTATTTCAGTTCTTCAATTTTTGGGTCAATTTGAGTTTGGTTTCGGGTTATCGGGTTTGGGTCAATTTTGCCAGGTCTACTCGGTACATTAGGTCCCAAGTTCGATTCTTTAGCAACCACCTATTTTAGTGTAATTCTATTGCTTTGTAATTAAAAAAACACTCCAACATTCTATATTTTTTAGGAGAATAACCCATACCCATTTTGCAACTATACATTCACAAAGAAAATAAGGCCAGGTAAATATAGAAATATGATACTCTAAAAAATGAGAGTGATATATGTGTCATACATAATGTACTCGTTAGATATATCATCATTTAGTATACACTATCAGCATTATATTACAGGATAATGTTTGCAATGTTATTCACGACCTATTTTAACTACAGGATCGGTGATGTTATCTCATTAAAATGCCCACTAAGAAAATTTAGTAGGACATAACTTAATCAAAGGGAAAAGAACACAACATGTAATGTACCCCACAAACTAATTTATATTTTCAAATATGTAAAGTCTAATTTTCCGTGTGAGTTTTTTTGAAGCTATATCTAAGGGGGGTATATTCAATTAGGATTCTGATGGATTGTTTTGGATTTTGAAAATCTGTAGGTATTCAATTCTGATTTTAAAAAATCTTTTAAAATATGATTGTATTCAATCCAGATTTGAAAAAATCCTTCCAAATATGACAGTATTCAAAAATTGATAGATTTGTAAAGATTTTTAATTATAAGGATTTCAATGGATTTTCATGCCTTACTTATTAATATAATTCCAGATTTGAAATCCCACCAACAACCCTAGGATTTCGCCAGACTTTCTTCCGCACTAACTAGGTTCACTTCTCATCTTCTTTTTCGATCCGTCGGCATAGCACTGGACGACTTCTCATCTTCTTCTTCAACTTCTCTTCTTCTTCTTCAATCCGTTGCTAGACTCCTCTCTTCTCGCGGAGCTCTAAGAAGGAAGCCAGATTCTCAATCTTTCAGGTCTTTAGCTCTCGTTCCAGATTCAATCCTTCTAAGAGGGAAGGAATCCAGATTCAATCCTTCCACGAAGGACATAGGCTCGCCGGCGATGGCAGGGACGACGATGGACGGGGATGGAGACGGGGAAGAAGAAAAAGGGGAATTTAAAGAAAGAGGAGAAAGAAGAAGAATAAATAGGAGGAGGGGAGAAAGAAGAGAAAGAAAGAAAGAAAGGAGAAGGAAGGAGGAGGAACGAAGGAGAGAAGAGAAAGAAGGAGGAGGAGAAAGAAAAAGAAAGAAAGAAAAATTAGCAGAAAGGAAAAGAAGAAGAAGAAGAAGGGGGCGTAGGAGATGGGAAGAAAAACAATTGGAGTGAGGCTGAGAAACAGAGAAACAAAGAAGAATGAAAAAAAGTAAATGGATTCTAACAAATCTATCAAAATCTATGTTAAAATCTCTCTAATTCTGCATAAACTTAAAATAATCTTTTGATTTTATATAGTCTACAGATTCTAACAAATCTATCAAAATCTTTTAAACTCTGAATTGAATACACCCCCCTAAGTAAACTTCTAGTAAACAAGTCTGTTAGGTTTTCACTTGATTTGATATGAAGGACATGGATAGCTCCCTCCTTTTGCAAGTCTTGTGTTGAGAAATGCTTTAGTGAGACGTGTTTCATTTTGCCTCCTTTGGCGTATCCTTCATAGTCTAAGCAAATTACATGGTGCATTATCTTAATGGATGATAATCGAGTCATTGATTTTGTTTTAAACCACATGCATGCTCCATGTGGTAAATATTTTGTTTTTGAACTCCCACCTCACACCAAGAGGATAGTGAGTGTGGTAAATTATGGTATAATCTCAATTTGATTCTTAGAAAGGCCATCCCGGACGCACAAGGAATTATTACAAATACTCCGTAATAAAACTCTCACATTGTCGTTGTCAGAATCCGACCCTAAGATCAATGGACTTGATATCCTCTCCTTAGACCAATTGACCTACCTATGCGGGCTTATTCAATCTCATAAAAAAAGTTACGGAATATTAATTTCTAAGTTGACTTAAATTATATTCAAAAAAATTTAAAAATAAAAATATTTATTTAAAATTGGTTTAAGTAGAAGAGACATCAATGACTCGATTATCACTTTTTAAGCAAATTACTCGATTATCATCCATTAAGATAATGCACCATGTAATTTGCTTAGACTATGAAGGATACGCCAAAGGAGGCAAAATGAAACACGTCTCACTAAAGCATTTCTCAACACAAGACTTGCAAAAGGAGGGAGCAATTCTTAAATAAAAATCCTTCATAGTCTAAGCAAATTACATGGTGCATTATCTTAATGGATGATAATCGAGTCATTGATTTTGTTTTAAACCACATGCATGCTCCTTGTATATGATTGATCTTCAATCTTTACCACACTTGTTCTCATTCGGGGTCATATAGTGCTATCAATTCAGGCATTCAACTTGATTTGATGATTTATCGTTAACGCTTGCTCTGTTACTTTTCAAGAAATTGTCGTACCGCCATATATAAACATGTAACCTACCTAAGATCACACTTAAAAAATGATATTTGTGACCCAACTTCAAAAATCACCATTGTATTTTTTCTTCAAAGAGTAAATTCAATACCTGGTCTTCTAAAATTAGAGTTTTTTCATGTTTAGTCATTAATGATTAAAAAATACGTTTGTAGCCTTTCGTTTGTGAGTATTTTTTATGGATAGTCCTTTGTTTGACATTCAACACTATTAATGTTTAATTGAAAGTTAAAAATATAATTTCACATCGATCTTAGGCTCGACCACGTATTTTGGTGTCGATCAGCTTGATGGGCAACACATCAATAATGAATATGACTGTCAACTAAGATTCTGACCACCAACTACAACCGTGGACTATGGTTGTAGTAGGCGGCGACTCCCGCAGATAAAGGACATATCAACAACGATCATTGGCCTTTGCTAACAAGAAAGATGTAGAGTAAGAACATAATACTCGAGAGTATTTGTTAATAAAAAATTAATGTTCTATTTTTATTCAACTAATTTTTTTTCTACTTATAATTTATTTTATCAGAGGTTCAGATCAAAGTAATTATGTCAAATCAGTAACAACTTTAAATTACACCGCATAATTCAATCAGACTAAATTCATTCAGATTAAATCAGATGAAGAAAATACAATTTAAATATGGAAAGCTCTCTATTTTAAAAGATCAGAATTTTTTTCTTTTTTAAAACAAGAATTATATATTTTGAACTTTTGATAAGTATGATAATTGATGAGAAACCATAAACATACAAAGGTTTGAGTGCCTAAAATGTAAATTGACACTAATTTTCTTTCGTTGCTTCTACTGCTTGTCATTAAGGACGTTTATAGATACTCTTTGATCTGGAGATTGAGAGTTCAATTGTCGGGAAGAGATCCATGGAGTGGGCAACGCTTCAGCATTTAGATCTCCGGCACGTCGACCGGAGCTCTAAAACCTTGCAGCCTCACGCTGCCGCTTTCCACCCCATTCAGGCACTCGTATCTGTAGCCGTCGGCACGTACGTCATCGGTAAATTCTGAACTTCTGCAGTTCTTCATTTGCGTCCCCGGCACTCATTATACAGTACCCTGCTTTGATTTCATTCTATTTGTTAAAAGTATTTGTGTGATTAAGCTTTCTGTAACTTCAGAATTTGATGCATTTACTGGATGTAAGATCGCTGCCATAGACATCGGATCGCCAGTTGTGCGCATGGCTTATAGCCCGACAAGTGGGAATGCCATTATTGCTATACTCGAGGTTAGCTTCTAAAGCAGCTGGATTCACTTCAGATTTTCAGAAGGCGCGTTTTTTGGCTGATTAAGATTTCGGACATTCATTTTACTAATGTTTGCTATCTTTTGGTGTGGCTGATGGTTGCCCCCTATAATTTTCAGGATTGTACAATTCGATCATGTGATTTTGATGTTGAGCAAACCTGTGTGCTCCATTCTCCTGAGAAAAGGACCGAACAGATTTCTTCAGACACAGAAGTTCATCTTGCCTTGACTCCCCTTCAACCTGTAGTATTTTTCGGTTTTCATCGCAGGATGAGTGTGACAGGTATATAAATTTATCAAATATGGTTGGATTGGTTGATCTAGTCACAGGCATTTTTCTTGCTTTAATCTAGTTATTCTGGTAGAGAATAAGAGAATTAGAGATGTGCTATTTTATTGGTAGCTTGTTTCATAGCCATTAAGGAAAACAGATTTCTTTTAGTTACATTATTATCAGCCAGTGAGAAGGGTGGATCAAATGAAAAAATAGACATGTGGCTAGAGGAAGGGCTAGAGTTAAGAAAATTTGGCACGAAGTGGTCAAGAGTGATATATGCAAGAATGATCTAGCTGCAGATATGATATATGATAGGGTGCAATGACATTGTTTGATCCATGTAGCCGACCCCANTGCTTTAATCTAGTTATTCTGGTAGAGAATAAGAGAATTAGAGATGTGCTATTTTATTGGTAGCTTGTTTCATAGCCATTAAGGAAAACAGATTTCTTTTAGTTACATTATTATCAGCCAGTGAGAAGGGTGGATCAAATGAAAAAATAGACATGTGGCTAGAGGAAGGGCTAGAGTTAAGAAAATTTGGCACGAAGTGGTCAAGAGTGATATATGCAAGAATGATCTAGCTGCAGATATGATATATGATAGGGTGCAATGACATTGTTTGATCCATGTAGCCGACCCCACCTAGTGGGATAAGGCTTGGTTGTTGTATTATCATCATCAGTATCCCCAAGTCAAGACGGGCATGTTTACACCCTAGTTGAGGCTGGACTTCCATCTCAATTTCTAAATGGAGGAACAAAGCGTGATAATAGGAAATAAAAAGAGTATAGATGTTACTAAATAGAAGGCAACTCCCCTAGCCCCCCCCCCAATGATATGGCTGCATATATGATATATGAAAGGGTGCAATAACATCATTTGATCCATGTAGCCGATCCCACGTAGTGGGATAAGGCTTGGTTGTTGTATTATCATCAGTATCCTCTAGCCAAGATGGTCATGTTTACAGCCTAGTTGAGGCCGGACTTCCCTCTTAATTGCTAGATGGAGGAAAAAAGCATGATAATAGGATATAAAAAGAGTATAGATGTTACTAAATAGGAGGCAGCTCCCCTAGTCTTCTCCCCCCCTCCCAACCCCAACCCCAATCCTATCAATGTCTAAGTGTGTCATTTTGTCAATCATCATGATCATTGTTTACTGCTATTTAGGTATAAAAAGAGTTGAGCTCCTATTTAGGTACTATGCCAATGCTTTACTCCTGTTTATGTATTTAGCCATAAAAAGAGAGGAACTAAAAGTAGTGTGCACTGTGCAGAATATTATTGTGCCATTTTCCATCCTCTAAAAAGTTGTTGAAATTGTGGTAGCAATTAAAATACTGTGCTGTATTCCCCTGAATTTATACAGGAAGGCATCGACTAATCATTGAAAAAAATAATTTAGAACTCTGTAATATAGTTTAACACCTGTTCTCTGCCCCCCCCCCTGCTTGGGATTCAACACTGCACTCTTGTCTTAAAAAAACTTCAATTTCTCCTTGAAGCCTGTCAAAGAAAACCGGCACTGTACCACAAGTATATGGAAAAGTAAATAGCATTCTCAGTGATGATGTTGCTAAATGTGTCTTTAGATGTTCTAAAATATTTACCATTTTCTTGGGTGAAGTTGTTGGAACTGTCGAAGGTGGGAAAGCACCTACGAAAATAAAGACAGACTTGAAGAAACCTGTTGTCAATCTTGCATGCCACCCACGACTTCCTGTTTTGGTAACTAAGAGTTCAAGACATTTATCGTTTCCTTATTTTACACTGTGAATTGCTTTTTTCCATCATCTGGCATATTTTTTACTCTTTATTGTGATTCCAGTATGTAGCTTATGCAGAAGGTCTAGTTCGAGCTTACAATATCCATACATATGCTGTTCATTACACTCTACAACGTACTACTGTAAACCTTTTTCCTCTATTTTATCATTCATTGGATTTGAAGAGGCTCTCACTTGATTTTCTAGCTTCATGAATAAAAAATATTGATATTTTGTAGTTGATAATACTATTAAGCTGATTGGTGCTGGTGCGTTTGCATTTCATCCAACACTGGAATGGCTATTCATTGGTGACAGGCGTGGGACACTTATTGCATGGGATGTATCCACAGAGAGGCCTATGATGATTGGAATGTATGTTACTTGTGTCTATTTTGTCCAGTTTTTATATTTCAATAGGTTGCATTTGATCAGAACGTTAGTGATTATTTTTGTTGAGTTAGCAACATTATTCATATTTATATCTTATTACTAATTATTAATTTATTATAATTTTATTTCTTTTCTCTCGCATAAGTGGTTCTGACCACTCTGATATTTCGATGTAATTCCAGCACGCAGGTTGGTTCTCAGGCAATTACGTCCCTTTCTTGGCTACCATTGTTGCGGGTGATCGTTACACTGTCCAAGGATGGAAGTATCCAAGTCTGGAAAACAAGAGTGATACTGAATCCTAACAAGCCTCCTATGCAAGCAAATTTTTTTGAGCCTGCTGGTTTGTACATTGATTGTTTTTTACAAAAAATAAAAATAACATATTTAATATGAATTTGTAACAATAATGCGCTGAAATTCATTTCAAGTGTAAATGTATATGGGAAGAAAAACATTATACTCCCTCCGTCCCAAAATGAAGTTAACAGTTTGACTAAACAGATTTTAAGAAAAGTGTTGAAAAGTAAAAAGTGTTGTTAAAGTTTGTTTTGAAGAGAGAGAGAGAGAGAAACGTTGTTAGCCACATGTTCCTATCTAATAGAAAATTAAGGAAGTGTAAACATTTTTTTGGGACATCCCAACCAGGAAGGTGTAAAGGGAGTAATTTTCAAGTCATTTCCCATTTTTTAGCATGATATCTATTTCTCTTTATATACAAATTTCTGGTAAAATTCCCTGGGAAATACTGCAGGACGTCATAAACCATGCTTTGTAAAACAATATTTGATATTGTTCAGTGTTTTTTGTTTTTTGATTCATATTGCTATATGATTTTTTTGTAGCAATTGAATCAATTGATATCCCTCGGATTCTTTCACAGCAAGGGGGAGAAACAGTTTATCCACTTCCAAGAGTTAAGGCTTTAGAAATTCACCCAAAACTGAACCTAGCAGTATTGCTTTTCGCGGTGGGTTTTAACTTTGTGCAAGTGTGAATGTGGTAAAGATAGATGACTTTCAGGAACACCTTAAGATATGTTGGTCTTTCTCAACAGAGTATGAGCGGTGGCGACAATAGGAAAAACAAAGCTGCTTATACCAGAGAAGGAAGGAAACAACTCTTTGCAGTTCTACAGAGTGCACGAGGATCATCGGGTAAGGTGTCTGAATGCCTGTTTAACTTAAACTCAGATATCCAGCTCATAGGTGTCAAAGGTTGGACAGTACTAGGTGCACAGTGTGGATAGATTTTACAATGGCACCAAGCTTTATTTATTTTTTAAAAACACAGCTGCAGTATTTGGAACTATTTTTTGTTTGTTTAGTTTATTTCTTGAAGACATGTTTGATGGGGACTTGGTGACCGATAGTTCTTGGCTGAGCATAATAATATGATAACTTTTGTTTTGGGTAGGTGGGTGTTTATGACAATATGTTCATGTGACTATATGATGCACTCGGCATTTGCACAGCAGTTAGGAATGATCCTTAAGTTGGTTACTTGGTAGTTTTGGCTAGTATGTTTTTGAACTTTTGAGAAGGGTTTAAGGCATTGTGATAGTTGTATTCTCTTTCGGAAAAGAATGCCAAACTCTATCAGCCATCTAGAAATGAAACTATACAATAACAACCCAGTACAATCCCACAAAACTAGCTTCTGAAGAGGGTGTGTGTACGCAGAGTATGGAGGCTGATTTCAAGATACCCCAAGGCCCCAGCTCAAGCAACACAAAAATCACACAGCATGACAAATAAACAAAGAGAAAACAGAGGGGAACGAAAAGCCAACGAGACAAAACACACACAAACCGCTGCTAGCAACTAGACTCCAAGCATAAAAAGCACACACAACAAGAGCAAGAACTACCACCAAGGCCTAAACGATTATTCAACTACCCTAGTCCTAGACGCTCCTATACAAGTCATATCCCGGTAAGGGCCGGAAGTCTTAAGTCTTGTCTAATCACCAATTCTTCCATATGCTAGGAATGAAACTGTGTGGGGCTTTTGGGTTGTCATTATGTGACAAGAAGTGGATTTATAGTGGACCAATGTGCACAGTTTTCATTTTGCCCTCAGAAATAGAACTATGTGCCACGGTGGACTCAGGTGCATTTTAGGTTGCCGTGTTGACATTTTCTATATATGTATATGTTCTATGCAGCGTCTGTATTGAAGGAGAAACTGGCAGCACTTGGTTCATCTGGAGTATTAGCTGATCACCAGCTTCAAGCAAAGCTGCAAGAGCATCACTTAAAAGGGTGAGTTAGGAATGTTTGTTTGTGAGTTTTGTCTGACCTTATATGAAAGTGAATAAATGTCAATGCTCAAATCAGCTAGTTTTCCTGAATTCTTTACTTTATTCTTTAATAATTGAAGGCTTGAATTCAATTCCAAGTTCTTGACACCTTTGGTGTAGCCGTGTAGGTGTATAGCTGTACTTGGACTACTATGTCTGATGTTTCTATTTTCATATTGCAAACAAGGGTAATTACTGCTGCATGCACTAATGCTGACAATTTGTTGACTTCATATTAGGCAAAACCAGCTTACAATATCAGACATAGCACGGAAAGCTTTTCTTTACAGTGTATGTATTTTTCCAAATTGATATATTTAAGATGTTTTGCTTGAAAAATACATATGACTTACAACAATTGCACATTCTTTACTTTTTCATTTATTTACATTAACATCAACAACAACCCAGTAGAATCCTACCGAGGTAGGGTCTGGGGAGGGTGCGTGTACGCAGACCTTACACTTATTTACATCATTCATACTAATAGCAATTAGTATGGGTTGCTCACAGATGAAACCTTGCAATTTGCATGCTACCTTATAATTTGCTATGTTGAGTTGTCTCTTTTGTTCATAATGTGTAACTATCACCATTTTTTTTACCTTTTTCTAACTTCTGTACAGCATTTCATGGAAGGTCACGCCAAGAGTGCTCCAATATCTCGATTACCTCTCATTACCATTTTGGACACTAAACATTATTTGAGACATGCCCCTGTCTGCCAGGTAAATTGGTAGGTGGGTTTATAAGCTTCATATATCACATATGCGAATTTTCTTAAAATTTTTTCCTCACAGGCATTCCATCTGGAGCTAAACTTTTTTAGTAAAGAGAACCGAATTCTTCACTATCCTGTCAGAGCTTTCTATGTAGAAGGGGTCAACCTTATGGCTTATAATCTCTCCTCTGGGGCCGAAACTATATACAAAAAGCTTTATACCTCGGTAATTTTGAGCACCTTTGTTATGAAAAGGTCAAGGCAATTTACTTTAACACTATTAGTGTCTTGATCTCTTTTCTATTCTGTTCCGTTTCCTCAGATTCCTGGAAATGTAGAATTCCATCCTAAGAACGTGATCTATAGCAAAGTGCAACACCTGTTTCTCATTGTTTATGAGTTCAGTGGTTCAACACATGAAGTGGTTCTTTATTGGGAAAACATAGATTCTCAACTTGCAAACAGTAAAGTCACCACAGCTAAAGGTCCTTCCTGTCTTTTGTAGCTTTTTCCTTTGAACAGCGTGTGCTTGTGTATTTCTGTACCCTGGCTCTCGACAAATAAGTAAAGTATTCTGAACTGATTTGCTCTTAATTTTTTTATTATAAAGGTCGGGATGCTGCCTTTATTGGTCGTAATGAAAATCAGTTTGCAATTCTTGATGAGGATAGGACAGGACTTTCTTTATATGTTTTACCGGGAGCAGCTACACAAGAGTCCAATGAAAAGAACATGGAAGTTAATCTAGACCAGACCGCAGAAAAGGATGTTGCCATGGTTAAGGGTCCTCAACAGTTTATGTTTGAGGGTGAAGTTGATCGGATTTTTTCTACTCCAATAGGTAGCTTTGGTGTGATATTCCATTATTCCTGAACTCTGATACTGGAATCTTGTATCAGTTTTTGAATGATTTTAATTCCAAATTTCCAACTCTTCTTTCATTGTTTTGGTGGTGATTATTTGGGGGGGGGGGGGTGGTTGCAGAGTCAACTGTGATGTTTGCTTCCTATGGCGGTCAGATTGGCTTGGCAAAGCTTTTACAAGGATACCGTATCTCAAATGCTGATGGCCACTATATATCAACAAAACCTGAAGGGAAAAAATCTATTAAATTGAAACTAAATGAAATTGTGCTCCAGGTAAACACCTTGCACTAGTAGAACTTAATATTTTCTTCAATGCTTCTGTTCCCATTTCATTCTTCTTTGATAAACATGAACAAGTGCATGTAAAAATCAGACACCAACAACAACAACCCAGTTAAATCCCACAAGAGTAGGGTCTGGGGAGGGTGTGTGTACGCAGACCTTACCCCTACTCGAAAGTAGAGAGGCTGTTTCCAAAGAGACCCCCGGCTTAACTTCGAAAGTTGCATTGCTTGACTAACTGCTACTTCATTAATTAAAGAAGCACAGACAGTTTAGAGATCCATTTTGATTTATTCCATCACACCCCAAAGCCAAAAAATGGTGAAATTTTGGCTCCATCGGAGATGATGGGAAAAAAAAAGTATATCAGACACCAATGATCCAAATATGGCTCATTGAAATATGATTCAATTTTCTTTATCCAATAAATTTTTCTCGGTAGTAAAGACCCATATAATTGGTTGACTTTTAAAACTCTCTTTTCCAGGTACAATGGCAAGAAACTCTTAGAGGCTATGTTGCGGGTATACTAACCACACACAGAGTCCTTATTGTTTCTGCAGATCTTGATATACTTTCTTTCAGTTCAAGAAAATTTGACAATGGGCTTCCTTCAATATCCTCAAATGCATTATTTATTATCATCTTTGAATTCTCTTTTGTCCTTTTTATCTTCCCTCAATTATTAGGATTCTTAACTTGTGATTACTATAGATCCCTTTTATGGGTTGGCCCTGCACTGATGTTTTCTACCACGACTGCTGTTTGCATCCTTGGTTGGGATGGAAAAGTGAGAAGTATTCTATCTATTAGCATGCCCAATGCAGGTAGATGTCCATCATTCCTGCTGTTGCAATGAGCTCTATGCAAATATTTATCATTCTATTTTTTTGTGTCATTTGATAATGTTACATCATTCCTGCTTGTTGATGAATGTTGACGTCATCCTGCAGTGCTTATTGGAGTCTTGAATGATCGTCTACTGCTTGCAAACTCTACAGATATAAATCCTAGACAAAAAAAGGGGATTGAAATTAAGAATTGCCTAGTTGGACTTCTTGAACCACTTCTAATTGGGTTTGCCACAATGCAACAATACTATGAGCAGAAGCTTGATCTTTCAGAAGTACTATATCAGATAACAACCAGGTCTAATTCCTCTTTCCATCTTAGGTGTCTGGTTGATGCATCTAACATTCTTGGAACAAAGGGCATACGTGCAAATACTTATGGAGGCTTGTTACTTACAAATTCTTTATTTGCAATCTAAATGAAGGTTTGATAGCTTGCGGATCACTCCAAGATCACTTGATATACTTGCCAGTGGCCCACCAGTTTGCGGTGATCTAGCTGTATCATTATCCCAATCTGGCCCACAATTCACCCAGGTTAATGAAATTTGATTTTTTTTCTGCACATGTGATCTTTTGTTTTCCTTTTGCCATGCATCAGGCTTTTGTTTATTCTTGTTCATGAGTCAGGTATTGCGAGGGACATATGCAATCAAATCACTGCGGTTTTCTACTGCTTTATCTGTTTTGAAAGATGAATTTTTGCGATCTAGAGATTATCCGCGGTGCCCCCCGACGTCTCATCTTTTCCACCAATTTCGACAGTTGGGATACTCTTGCATTAAGTACGTATTGTGACAAATGTTTTGTTTTATAAATGTGTGAGCCTAGAAAAATAATACTCAGTATATAAGAGCAATGACATTCACTATATAAAATATTTGTAGCCTTTATTGAACACTTCTCTGATTGGCTTCATCCTTTTCCCCTTTCATTTTTTGACATTCTTAAACAATATCATTTTCCCGATTACTGGTTTTAGTGAATTATTACGGAGTATCAAATTTCTGCTTCCTGTCTCCCTCATGGCAATGCTTCTTCCCAAATTCCCAATATATTTTATTTCTCTACGGTGCTTTGAGAGTTGAACCTTTGCCTGGAAACTATTCCACTTTCTTTGGTTCCATCTCAGGTATGCTCAGTTTGATAGTGCAAAAGAAACTTTTGAAGTCATAGGAGACTATGAAAGCTTGCTAGATCTATTTATATGCCACCTTAACCCTAGTGCTATGAGGAGACTCACCCAGAAGTTGGAAGAGGAGGGTGGAGATCCAGAGTTGAGACGATATTGTGAACGGATTTTGAGGGTACGGTCTACTGGGTGGACACAAGGTATATTTGCAAACTTTGCTGCTGAAAGTATGGTTCCCAAGGGGCCTGAATGGGGTGGTGGTAATTGGGAGATTAAGACACCAACCGACTTGAAGAGCATACCGCAGTGGGAGCTGGCTGCTGAGGTGATGCCCTATATGAGAACCGATGATGGTACAATTCCATCTATTGTAACAGATCATATTGGTGTTTATCTGGGCTTAATCAAAGGAAGAGGCAATGTTATCGAAGTCAGAGAGGATGCTCTGGTGAAAGCATTTAAAGCCGATGGGCAGCAAACATCCACAGTAGCATTAATGGCTAGAGGAGTATCTGAGAGTCAATCAAAGGGTGGTGATTTGATGATGGGTGTTGAAAGTCTTTCCAAACAGTTTTTGACTTCTAACAACGTTTTAGTAGATGAGCAGGCTAAAGCGGAAGAAGAATTCAAGAAATCACTGTATGGTCCAGCGGCTGATGGTAGCAGCAGTGATGAAGAAGAAACCTCAAAGAAGAAAAAGTTGCTAATTAAAATCAGGGACAAGCCTGTTTCTTCTGCTACTGTAGATGTAGATAAGATCAAAGAAGCTACAAAACAATTGGGCGTGCCAATGGCTAGAACCAAGTCACTCACTGGTTCATCACCAGATCTTGGACTTCTAGTATCACAACAACCCTCGTCTCTACCAGGAACTGTGACCTCTCCTGCTGTTTCTAGTCCTACGGACCTATTTGGAATGAATTCACTGACACAACCTGTGCTGCAGCCTGCTCCTCCGGCTAAGGGAGTAGGAATGACAGTAGGGCCCATTCCTGAGGATTTTTTTCAGAATACTATATCATCGGTTCAGGTTGCTGCTTCACTACCTCCGCCCGGTTCATTCTTGAATAAATATGATCAAAGTTCTCAGGGAGTTGAAAGCAATAAAGTTGAACCTAACAACGCCGGTGTTATTCCAGCTGATATCAGTCTTCCTGGTGGAGGAGTACCTCCCCAAGCAACAAGTCAACCAACCAGCTCAATTGAGTCTCTAGGGCTTCCAGATGGTGGTGTACCTCCACAATCCATTGCTTCTCCCGTGATTCAGCCTCCCACTGCCATGCAACAATCTCAGTTTCAGACGGTCCATGTCTCAACGGCAGCACAACCCCTTGACCTAAGTGCTCTTGAAAATACTGGAGCTTTACAACCACCTTCTGCACGTCCAACTTCTCCAAAAGCTGTGCGTCCTGGACAGGTGAAAATTGTTTTACCTTCTGTGTGTGTTAGGTAGAGTATGTTGGGCTTGGTAGGAGGCAGAATACTCAAGTAGTGACTATTAGGTCGTGAGTTAAAGCATGTTGAGCTTGTTAAGGTTTCCCTGCTTTATATGAGAGCATCACACATTATGTCCTAGTGGTAAGAATTACTCTGCCTGTCCCAAACAAAGAGTTTTGTTTGAGTAAACTACAACTTTTTACTTTCAGTCAACTCAACATTGTACAAGTTTTTTTTTACATGTTATGAATGTGCATTTATGCCCCTTAAATAAATATCAAAGATTGTTGGGACTTGCAGAATATGTAATGACGAGCAGTAAAATTTGAAAACTTTACCTTATTATTGCTTGAGTGGGACGGATTGTACTAGTAGTAGTACGGTGTCAGCAACTGCCCCTAGTTTTTTTTGCAACGACATCTTTCTTAAATACGGTATTGCATCCTTCCCACCATGTTTGTCCCATTTTCCAGTTTTGGTTCATCTTAAAATGTTTGCCAACACCGTAGTTGGTCATGTTTATGTGGTGCAAAATCATCCATACTCTATTTATTCATTATCAATCATACTAGTCCACTCTTAATTTATTTACCACTTTCCATTGTCCCGAACCTAGTGGGACAGAGGAATATGCATGATGAAACCAGAGGAAATTACCTACTTTTAAATGAAGGATTGGACTCCATAACTCATCACCTTGGGTGCCCATGTCTTGTTCCCACATAAGCTCGCCTGAGAGTTGTTAGATGACCCTTAGATCCTGACTCCTAGTACTTTTTGAAACTTCTGCTTTAGGGCTACATGTAGTGAGAAAGGTTTGGATGTATCTTTGTATGCAAAAATATGCACAAAGACCTACATAATTACACGTGAGAAATGAGTTGTTTCAGACCCACTTCTTGCCTTTTCCTTTTCTTTGGTCTTGTTTGTTAGGCTATTGTTGGATCTCGGGTAAGCTAGGGAAATGAAAGAAAACTCTAAGAAGTCATATTCTTATGTTTGGTTTACCTCAAAAAATGCAAAGGAAAATGAAATATGACTAGTATTTTAATCTTTTTTAAATAAACATTTTTGATCTCTTACTATTTGTGGTATGATATGAATTTTATAAATAAAATGAATGTAAACAAATATTAGAAATAAATGAATTGAGTTCGAATTAGTGTTTATTTTACACAACATTTTCCGATTTTTAAATTTCACCTAGATGTTACTCCCAAATTTCTTTTCATAGCATTTTCTGAATTCCCAATTGACCATTAGATTTTCAGTTCTCTATATAAACCATGGGGCTTTTCTTCTTCCTTGGCAGGTTCCTCGTGGAGCTGTTGCTCCGGTTTGCTTCAAGACTGGACTTGCCCATCTTGAGCAAAATCAGCTCCCAGATGCATTATCCTGCTTTGACGAGGCTTTCTTGGCATTGGCTAAGGATCAATCTCGTGGAGTTGACATCAAAGCTCAAGGAACAATATGCGCCCAATACAAAATTGCTGTCACTCTTCTTCAGGTACTGTGTTTAGTATTCCACATTAAGTCTGAACACTCACGGCTGCTGCTGTGCAGTGTGTTATACTCCGTATGTATTTTCCAGAGCTTTTTTTTTGGAGTTCACAACTTATTTTAAGTTCCAAAAATCTCATGCTTGGTTCATAGAATAAGAGCTTTAAGAGGCTCTTGTTTTTGGAGTTCATAACTTATTTTAAGATCCTTTTACTTTTCAGAAAATATGCACATAGGATTTCAAAATTTTCTACTCACAATGTTTTTTATTTACATAAAGTAACATCCATTATCTATTTATAATCGATATAAGAGATGCCTTCCCATCAAAAAATAAAATAAGAGATGCCTTTTTAAAAGTCTTTTAACTTTAACCAGCTTCTCAACAGCTAATTTTGTGTGTTTAGCATGTCAGTTCAATCCATAATGTGTTGAAACTCTTCAAGTCCAGCTCTTTAATGCAGCAGTAGTCTCAATTGGATGTAGACGGTATATGATCTTTTCTTATATACAGGGTAGGTCACAAAAGTCAGATGGAGAAGCTAATTTTATAAGCTTTCCATTCCTAACCAATTCTTTCTAAAGCATGTAGACTTATACCAAAAATCCAAAATTTTCCTGAATTATTTTCTTCAAAAAATCTGCTACACAGTGAAACCTATTCCCTTGAATGAAATTTTTTATTTTCCCAAAACCCATAATCCAGAAGACAGAAGTAGTCTCCTGCTTCACTTCATTCATTGTGTCAAACATAGTCTTTACCAAACACTTTTAACACCAATTAGGCGGGCGTGGTTCTTTTTTTGTGGGTATCAAGCATGATGTTCGCAATGGTCTAAACCCAGACTTAATGTTTAGATATCAAAAAGTCCATTACAAATTTGTACCGTATTGCATCTGACTTCTTGTGAAACCCATCTCTCCCTTATACGGAGTATTTGGGAATGGGGGTGTGGGGAATCAACAACAAAAGTTGGTCACCTCTATTCATCACTTTCCATCATTGTTCACCTCCATCTATCCCTTTGGTGTCTGCCACCACCAGCCCTTGTTTTTCGAATGTTCTGAACTCATACCATAATGTGAACTAAACACAATGAATGCGGCATGAAGTTCCAAACTCATACCACCTCAAAACTACTTGATACTGAAGCCGTACAATAATGTGAACCAAGCGGGGCCAAACCTTTCACTCTTTCAGGTTCTAGCTACATATTTTTTTATCTTTCAGGTTCTAGGTATGCATGCAAACAGACCTATAGTTTTGTATGTGTGTGTATTTCATGCGAATCTATTATCTTTACTCAGATGTTAAAAATGATGGATCTAGCTTTGTATTCTCTCAACAGGAAATCAACAGGCTGCAGAAAGTCCAAGGGCCTAGTGCAATAAGCGCGAAAGATGAAATGGCAAGATTAGCACGGCACTTGGGTTCGTTGCCACTTCTTGCTAAGCACAGGATAAATTGCATACGAACAGCTATCAAGAGAAACATGGATGTACAGAATTACGGTTATGCCAAGCAGATGCTTGAATTGCTGCTGTCTAAAGCACCCTTAAGCAAACAAGACGAACTCCGAAGCTTGATTGACGTTTGTGTCCAAAGAGGCTTGTCCAACAAGTCCATCGACCCACTAGAAGACCCTTCACAGTTTTGCGCAGCCACACTTGGCCGTTTGTCAACCATCGGGTATGATGTCTGTGATCTTTGTGGGGCCAAATTCTCTGCTCTATCTTCACCCGGATGCATCATCTGTGGCATGGGCAGTATAAAAAGGTCTGATGCGCATGTGGTAGCCGTTCCTTCCCCGTTTGGCTAAAGGTAAACTGTATATTTAATGGGTTTGTACTTTATTTGGCCAAAGGGCAGTGTCCTGTAGAGCATATATTCATAGATCAATCAATTGGTTGGAGAGTGCATGCTTTTGTTGTAGTATTTGCTCCGGGTATTTTATAGAGCTCCGTTTATTAGTCCCCTTATAACACCTTCCCTACCACTGGTTTAGTGGTTTTGCATCCTTTTGAGCATGTTTTTGCGGTAGTAAATATTTGTATTACGCACTCACATTCTTTGTATTGTACTCCGTACTTCATAGGTCTCCACATTCCATTACATTATGTGCTGTATTAGAAGTATTGTCATGTTTGCTAGTACTAAATTTTGTGGCTTAGGCTTGAAATCATGTGTGTGTGTGTATTCTGTGTGTGTGTGTGTGTGTGTTCCTTGATCAAGCAATTGAATAAAATAAAACCATAAATGCAGATTAGTAATATAAACTCATTATAAATTTATATGTTTTTTATTGAACACACATTAGTGAGGCCACTAGTTTGTTGGTGTTGAGACTTGAGAGGTTACCCATTGTGATAGAGGCCATTATTAGTGGAGTATGCATGTAGGTGGTCGCAATTGTAAACCTGTAACCCGTAATTGATGTAATTAAGTTTTAAAAAAAATTTTAAAAAATGTTTTTTTTACAGTAACTAGGAAAATTTTAAATATTATCTTAATCTTTTAAATACGAAGTAGAAAATTGGAATACACTTTAGCGTTTAGTACAATACATGTGAATCGTTAAAAGGACACTTTAATTGTGCCAAAGTACTTATATTCTTCGCTGCTACTTTTGACCAAAAACTTTATTCTTCCATACTTGAGAACCAAAATATGTAATGCACTTTATCACAAAAATGGCACCTCAACTGACTTGTTTTGGTCTGGAAAATACAGGAGTGCATCTATTAGTGGATAAATCAAAATTCCGTGTCTTATTTTGATTTTTGTGTGGGGGAGATGGAAACATGGTTTGACTGTGGTTTTGATTACATATTCCATTCATACCAAAAAAAGATAAATTTATTTAACTTTTTTTTTTTGGCTTCATAAGTCATAACTTCATATTGTGTTTTTATTTACCACTCCTATGGAATATTTTACATAGATATAATTAAAAGTTCTGCGTTTTTAAAAAAATATCTTTATATTATCACTTTCACATTATGAATTGCTTTTTGTAGGTCGACGTACCTAGAATTTCAGATTGGTCTGAAATTTATGTGAATAGCCTACATGCTAGTATCTTTCAATTTAATGATCAATTTTGTGTAAAAATAATACTACCATTGGGTGATATCAACATTTTATAAGTGTTGCAGACTAGCCATTTCACTTTTATTTTTTGCACATTTCAAAAAATATTTCTACCATCACTGAAAGGGTTAAATACATAGCTCATTTCTCTTTTATTATGCGTAAAAGTTATTGGGGGTGAAATTATTTTTTCTAACGGAAGGAATAACTTTTTTTATTGTACCGCAATAAAGTTCTCATTCTTTTTAAAGAATGAAATGAGTGGTCCAAATAAAGTTATCACTTTCATGAATATATTAATTATGTGTGTCGCGGGTCCGTGTTATAGAGTCAATGAAAAATGATATAGCCAAATAAATTTTGCAAAAAGAATTATCTAATTGAGGGCAAAAGTAATTTGCCATAAAAAAAAATTAGTCTGTACGAATTCATCAAGAATTATTCTATTATGTATCCACATGTGAAAAAAAAAAAGGTGAACAACAGATGGATTATGTGACACTAAAAGTAATACGAGTACATAATTACAGTGAAGCTAATTAAATACAATTGATACAAATAATTAAGGAGCTGAGTAACTTATAATTACAAGCAGCGCTTTTTGCAAATCAAAGTTTACATATAGAGAGCACATGCAATTTACACATTAATTAATTAATTACGTACCCAACAAACAATATACACACGTACGTACTAACCCCTGATCTGATCTGATTAATCAATGGCCCATGCCGGGACTGTGCCCCGGCGACGTCGGTCGGAAAGCATCCAACGTGTACTCCGCCTTCTTGCCGCCACCGCCTTCTGCCGCCACCGCCGGAGACCGGCGAGAAGAAGCGGTGGAGGGATGACCAGAGCCGCCAAGCTTACTACTCCCAGCATGATAACTCTTCTCATCGTGCGCCGCCCTTGACCTCACTATCAACCGCCTTGCCTCCACCGCCCCATTCCCAACTTCATGCGACAAGAAAATCACCAAAACCAATAGTATTATAATGACCACTTTATTTTTATTATTAGTGCTGCAATTTTTTGCTGCTCCCATAAAAAAGTAGTACTCTACTTTGAATTTTAGGAAGTTAATTATTAATTAATACTATAAGTATATATTTATATATGTACACGCTGAGATGATTTATCATTTAACAAGTGTAGGTAGAGTAGAGTATATATATAATGCATATATATATATGGTTGTAAAAGAAAGAAGCAAGAGGTAGATACTATATTAGGGCATGGAATAATGATGTTTAAATAATTAATATCAGACCTCCTCAGGAGTAGGAAGATCATATTCCAAAGGGATGGTTTGGCTTGGTCTTCGTTGGTTCAAGTCTCATCTGGTGAACACAATTAAAAGTTCGTTGAAGCACTACTTTGCTCACTTTATATCACCTCATCCCTTCCTACTTGTTCATATACACATTATATTATTGATTCCAATGATATATACATTTGATTCCCCCCTAGCTACTTGCCACCCCATCCATTTTCTTTGTGGAGACCGGCGGAGTATTAAAATATATAAAGATATATATGCCACTCCGGCCATTGATTCTCTTTCAACGAATCTCTTTTGAACTCAAATAAATATAGTACCCTAGTGGCGGACCCTGAAATGTTTCCAATTAGCTAGAAATGATTCCCCCCCTAGCTACTTGCCAGCCAATTATATATATATATATATATATATATATATATATATATATATATATATATATATATATATATATATATATATATATATATATATATAATTTAAGCATATAATTTTCAAAAACTTTGACTTCAAAGTCAACTAAACTTGCATCTCGTAATAATATAGGTGAGTGGAGGGATGAGTTAAGTTAGGAAGGATAAGAACTATAAATTTTGCAAACGAAGTACCTTAAAGGAGACATAGAGTCGGGTAATAAAATACTCCCTCCGTCTACAAATAAACTTCTCGTTCACTATTCACATGGTCAAACTTTATTCACTTTATTTGTTGTCCTATTTTTGTCACCCATTTAATAAAATAATATAGTAATGTCACTTCTAGTTTTATAAATCTTTTGATATAGTTTTTTAATATGTAATTTTTATTTTAAAAATTAACACCATTTTTCATATAAAATAATTTAAAAATAATTTCAGTTAAACATTAAAGTTTATTTGTGGACGGAGAGCCTATGAAATATCCAAGGAGGTGAAGAGGCGTGCGTGCCTGCTCTGTGTCTCCCACATATGTACTCTAATTTCCACTATTCCCCAAGTGTTCGTCCTGCTACCTACCCTACGTACCCGGTACACCGTACACATTATGCACACACGCATATTTGGTCTTGGTCTACAATTCTACATGCATATAAACCCAATCCCCCTACAAATAAAATTAAACAAATCCTTTAACGTTATATTAATTGTTACTCTTGTGTTACGTTGGAGACAAACAAATGGACGACGTAAATGAACAAAGCAATCCACTGCTTACAGATACAACAACAACAAGAAGAAGCATGTTGGAGAGTGGTGATAATAATAATAATGAAAAGGGTGCATTATTATTATTATCATTATCATTATTGGGGCGTAAGAAGGCTTTCATGGGAGAGTTGATAGAAGTGAACCGCATAGCCCTTCCCATGATCCTCGTCACTGTTTCCCAGTTTCTGTTGCGCACCTCTCCCATCCTCATGCTGGGCCACCTCGGGCAGCTCCACCTCTCCGCCGCCTCCATCGCCACCTCTCTCTCCAACGTCACCGGTTACAGTGTTCTTGTAAGCTGCCTTACGCTTTTGATTGAATTGATTCGTTCATACGTCAGTAGTCTAGCACTGCTAGTTATAAGCGTAACGTTGTTGGTTTCGTATTGCATGAAACAGTTTGGAATGTCTGGCGCGCTGGAGATGCTGTGCGGGCAGGCATACGGGGCAGGACAGCAACGAAAACTCGCGACGTTCACTTATGGTGCGATTCTCGGCATGTTCCTCGTCTGCATTCCGGTCGCCATACTATGGCTCCTCACAGAGAAGTTGCTGTTGTCACTTGGCCAAGATCCATCCATCGCGGCAGAAGCCGGAAAGTATGCCATCTGGCTCATCCCCACTCTCTTTCCCTACTCCGTACTCCAGTCTCTGGTCCGGTACCTGCTCTCGCAGGGCTTGATCGTTCCCATGGTGTGGAGCGCCGTGGCGTCTCTGTGCCTGCAAGTGCCCATTTGTTGGGTTTTCGTGTTCAAGATGGAGTTGGGGAGTGCAGGAGCTGCATTGTCCATTGGCATTTCTTATTGGGCAAATGTGGTTTTCATTTTATTTTACGTCGCCAAGTCTTCGTCGTCGTCGACGTGTAAAATACCATCATCTTGTCATGCCGCCAGTTTCACTAGGGATGCTTTCCTTACCATGGGGGACTTCTTTAAGCTTGCTGTCCCCTCTGCAGTAATGGTCTGGTAATTAAACTCATCCGATCCTAAGTAGTCTTTCTTTGTCATATCATGATGTATGTCATTTGTTAAAAAACCGGAATGCATGTTTTCAAACAATCGGTTCAACCAAAAGTTTAAGCGTATGGTTCTATGTCCATGAATTTTAAGAGAATTAATGAAATTATTCTTCTTATTTTTTTGCCAGTTTGGAATGGTGGTCATTTGAGTTGATCTTACTATTATCTGGACTCTTGCCAAATCCAAAACTAGAGACATCTGTGTTATCTATATGGTATGCTCCTATTTATATTTTCTTTTGAATAATTTACTTAAATAAGACTAAAACATAATGATTTTTCCAATATATGACCATATGTTTTTATTTCCTAATGTAGGATTTTTAGTCATTATGAGTTAGTCATTATTTAAGTAAATGTCCATCATTATCGGACACTTTTTTTCCCACTAAGATATTAATAAGTCTTATTTAGGGAATAAAAATATTTAAGTCCTAGATTAGGAAAGTCATTATGTTTTAGTCCTATTTGGTGCAAATTTCACTTTTCTTATTTCATTCTTACCATAATTCAATATTCTACATACTTCAGTTAAAATTCTCCATATATCCTGTATATATATACTGATGTAACATTTATTATTCAATAAGATCAATTATTATCTAATTACATCAATTATGTCGCAATTTAAAGGAACGTAACAACTCACGTACGTGCTTGCATGCAGCTTTACGACCACTTCTGTCCACTGCAACATTCCTTATTCTTTCGGTGCCGCTGCAAGGTTCCTTAATTCTCCATTTATATATCTATCATCATTATCTATCTCCAGATTATTTTTACTCCGTAACGTTTATAGCTATAACAAAAAACTTACTCTAACGGAATTTCTCTATATGATTAGTGTTAGGGTTTCAAATGCCGTTGGAGGGCGTAAAGCAGAGGCAGCGAGAGTTGCGGTCTATGCTGTTATGGTGTTAGCCGCGACAGAGGTTGTGGTGACAAGTGCCGTCATATTTGGGTGCCGCGGGGTGTGGGGACGCATGTTCACGTCCGAGGACGAAGTGGTCGGCCGGGTGAGAGAGATGGTCCCACTTATCTGCGTCTCGACCATCCTGGATGGCACGCAAGCAGTGTTGTCCGGGGTTGTCAGGGGCAGTGGGTGGCAGAGGATAGGGGCATGCGTGAACCTCGCCTCGTTTTACTTGGTAGGGATTCCGGTGTCTCTCCTGCTTGGGTTCGGTCTGGACCTAAAGGCACTTGGCTTGTGGCTCGGTCTGGTGGCCGGAGCGTTCGTCCAGTCCGCCTCCCTCCTATGTACTTTCATTTCCTCCCTAAATCGGGCGCCGGAATTAATAGAAGCAAGGCTTGAAGTTTGAAAGAGATATAATACCTCCATCCATTCAAAGATAAACTTCTCATATACTAATTTCAATTTTTGTATTTTTCACAAAATACTTTTACTCTCACTTAAAATGTCTACAATACAATCTATTTTTTTCTTTGTTACGGGTAAAAAATTGTTTAAGGATTATTTAAGACATTTTAGATGAGACAAAGTATTTTGTGGAATGTGCAAAAATTAGCTTTTGAAACTTTTTTTTTTCAAATGGAAGGAGTAACTTTTTGATGAAAGTAAGAAAGATATCGACTAAGTGTAACATCTTGATGAGCTTGTGCTTTTATAAAGTGTGATTATGAGATTAAAGTCTTGGCATTGGTTAGGACCATCTTAAATTCTTAATGATTCTGATGGGGAAGAAAAAGTCAATGATATTTGAAAAAAATAGTGTAAACAACTAAACAAGCCATATTTGTTTCTTAAATGAAACATTTTACGTAGGGAGGGAGGGAGAACATCAAGTACCCGGAGTAATTAATTAACAAGTACTCCCTCCGTTTTATAAAAGTATTCCTATTTTGACTTTGTGTAAAAATAAGGAAGTGTTAAATTGTAGTTGACTTCCAATTTTGCCCTTGATGTGATGGCTAAAAGTAAGATGTGATGGATTGAGTATTAGAAAAAAAGTATGATGTGATAGGTAGGTTATGAAAAAGTAAGGGTAAAAGTGGTTTTTTAATAGAACGTGGAAATGTTTCGTTGGAAGTAAAAAAATGAAAGAGGAAGAGTTTTTGAGAACGGAGGGAGTACGTACGTAGGGAGCAGCTAGGCAGGTAGCAGTGGTAGTACTCCTAACCGGCCCCTCCATTTCCTCTATCAATCAACAAAATGAATAAACAAAGATGCATCGTAATTCATGTCAAAACCTCTTCCCTTCTCAAGTACGGAGTTAAGTGTATGACTTAATAATAATACTTCATCCGTCCCAGAGTATTTGTCCAGTTTCATTTTTACACGTCATCCAATGCACTTCTTTAATCCATTTATCTTGTAATTTGTACATTAAAAAATTATAGAAATTATATATTAATAATCTATATGTTAAGACGAATCAAACAAGATCACACATGACTAAATTTAGGCATACACATTGAGAGAATTTGATGAGTCAAAGTGCTTAGATGAACAGTTCCAAAAGTCAAAAGTGGACAAAAACTGGGGGACGGAGGGAGTATATTTTAAAAAAGGAAAAATTACCCAAAATAATCCTAACTTTACATGGTTTTTCAAAATAATCTCACCCTTCACTGTGATGCATAATAATCCCAACTTTAATGAAATTTGCCAGTTTTGGGTCGTCGTTAAGTTTCTAACGGAGGATTAACGGAAATGCTCATTTTAGGCAACAAAATGAAACTTAGGATTATTTTTGATGAATTTTCATTTTTTTTATTTTTTTTAAATTTTTCATTTAAATTTTTTAAATTACTTTCTACCTCCATCATCATTTCTTTTTTCCTTTTTTAAAGATTAGTCTTAGTTTAAAAAATAAAAATAATAGATATAAAAAATGAAAAAATGAGAAATGTAAGATACAAAAATAATAAAATAAATAAGGTAATCAATGGAAACTAACTTGAAACTGGTAAAAGTAAAATAAAAATATACGGGTGGGTTTTAATATTTTACGCATTATACAAAGTATTAACATATCACTTTTTATTTTTTAGAAAAAATTATGTACAATAATTCCAACTTTACCTGACGGCTTGTTCTTTTAAAAATTAAGTAGTACATTAAGACTCCGTATAGTGTGTAAAATGTTAAAACTCACCACTCCATATATATTTATTTTATTTCTTACCAGTTTCTGTTTAATTTCTATTGATTAAATTATTTATTTGATTAATTTTGTATGGTTTTAGTTATTTTTCTAATTTTCATTATTTTTTATATCTATTTTTTTCTAAGGTAAGAAAAATCTTTAAAAAGGAAAAAGAAATGGAGGTTGAAAGTAATTCAAAAAATTTAAATAAAAATTTCAAAAAAAATTCAAAAACAAAAATTCATCAAAAATAATCCCAACTTTCATTTTGTTGCCTAAAACGAGCATTTCCGTTAATCCTCCGTTAGAAACTTAACGGCGACCCAAAACTGGCAAATTTCAATAAAGTTGGGATTATTATGCATCACAATGAAAGGTGGGATTATTTTTGAAAGATCGGGTAAAGTTGGAATTATTTAGGGTAATTTTTCCTTAAAAAAATTACTGTCTGTCTCCTTTTGATCTTTTAAACTGGCAAACTTTGATAAGAAATTAAATCAAATTGATACTCCTTCCGTCTCTAAAAAAATCATGTTTCAAATTTTGGGTATCTCTAAATACATTTCTATCTATATGTATTATATCTAAGATTTATTGTATTTCTCTTTTATTACATACATGTGTAGTTGTTAGAATATAAATAACTTTTTCTGGGCCAAAAGATTGTTTTTAGAGTATTTTAGATATTTTAGATAAAATAGAATTATTTTATGAGATGTGTAAAAAATGAAGCATTAACTTTTCTTTGGGGATGGAGGGAGTATTAGGTGTGAATACACAAATAAATTCGATCACTTGATTCTTCTTGTAAAATTGTTTCCAAAATATTGTTCTATCCAATAATATACTCCCTTCCTTAAAAACTTTCCTCTTTCATTTTTTTCCAAATCCCTAAAATACTTCTACTTTCTATTAAAAACCCACTTTTACCCCTACTTTTTCATACCCTACCTATCAGATCATATTTTTTCACTAATAACCAAACTATCACATCTTACTTTTACTCATCACATCAAAGGCAAATTTGGAAAGTCAACCAAAATCATACTTTCCTTATTTTTGCCCAAAGTCAAAACATGAACCTTTTAAGGGAAAGGAGGGAGTATGTCATAAAGTTTTTATTTAACTATAGGATAAATACTTGATTCTGAACTTAAAAGTTAAAACCTGACAATGTTGTAGCTAGGAGTATAAAATTATATATACTCCCTAATATTGTACGGGTTGAATCGTCCTTTGGCCTCTTATTATTGAAAGGCTAGGCGAGGGGGAAGCAAAGCACACATGAAATGAAATCAAAGTTGGTATGATGATGAAGAAAAGTAATACTACTACCATTATTCTTTGTATAGACGGAGGTGGTGGAATTAGAGCAATCATCCCTGCTCTCATCCTCTCCTATCTTGAGTCCCAGCTTCAGGTAGAGCTCATCACCCGCGGCGGCCTAGCTCATATTATCTTTATAATATACTCTCTCGATCCTAAAAAAAAGTGTTCTTGTTTTGAACTTGTTTTTTTTTTGAAGAGTTTTGTTTAATTTGTAGATGGTTAATTATAATAATATGGTGGAAGTTAATATATGTGAAATTTGCATTGAATAGGACTAAAACATAGGACTTAAACTTTTTTATTTGCTTAATAAGACTTAATAATGACTAGTGAGAATAATAATGTCCAAGTGATACTGGATATTTAGTTGAATAATGACTAATAGATAACGATCAGTGGTCCTAGAAAATAAAAACATATGGTCCTATATATATTGTTTTAAGTTTGGATGTCTGTAATATTAATACATGCAATGCAGGAGTTGGACGGGGAGGAGGCGCGGATAGCGGAGTACATGGACGTGATAGGAGGAACCGGCACAGGTGGCCTCATCACCGCCATGCTCACTGCCCCTAATAACAACAACCAACGCCTCCATCGGCGCCGCCGCCCTCTCTTTGCCGCTAAGGACATCCCTCCTTTCTTCCTCCACCATTTCCCCCTATTTTTCCCTCACATCAAGTACTACGTAATATATTGTATTACCTTACTTTATTGTGAAATTTGCACTGAATAGGACTAGAACATAAGTCATTTTCTAATGTAGGAGTTAAACTTTTTTATTCCTTACATAGGACTTAATAATGACTAGTAAAAAGAATAATGTCCAAGTGATAATAGACATTTAGTTGAATAATGACTAATAGATAATGACCAATGGTCCTACATTAGAATAATCATTACGTTTTAGTCATATTTATGTAAATTAGCCTACTTTATTTTCCCATTCATATATATCCATCTCGATATTACTAGCTAATAAATTGATTGGACCTTATTTTTCAAATAGTTAACGTTTTTCTTTTTTTCAATATATAATTGTATTATAAGAGGGCCATTTGGGGAGGTAATAAACCAGATGAAAGCATCGACGGGGCCTAAATATGATGGAAAATACATTTCCAAACTTGTCAAGGACTTATTTGGAGGCACCAGGTTGCATCAAACCTTGACCAATGTCGTTATTCCTACTTTTGACATAAAGACCCTTCAACCACTCATCTTCAACTCATTTGAGGTACCAACATATATATATATATATATATATATATATATATATATATATATATATATATATATATGCACAAGTATATATTACTTCATTAAATTATATTTCAAAGTATATTTTAAAATAAATTCAATTCTACTACATTACATTATAACTAAATATTTTTTTCATAATTCACGATCAAAGGGTGTCACAGTTTGACAAAAAGAAATTAAACTATGGTAATCTTTAATTTATGAATGAAAAGAGTATTTTGAAGCTTTGAAGAAGCACCGAAGAAGCCCCAAGTCATCATACGACATTAGTGACCAATTCCGGGCGTTCAAAAGTTGCCTCTTCATTTGATGTTTTAAAAATGCATCACTTTTACCACTAACTCCATCATATATATACGAAAATTGAGCTGTTTTTTTAATTTCTGGCTGTCTCTTAGACAATAAAAGATACGACCTTGGATGCAAAGCTATCAGACATATGCATGGGTACCACTGCCACACCAACCCTTCTGCCACCCCACTACTTCAACAACAAAGACTACAAAGGAACCCAAAGAGAATTCAACCTCGTCGACGGATCTCTTGTTGCAAATAACCCCGTACGTATGCATGCATGCATGCATCCATGTTCATGCATATATACAAAACATGAGATATCATAACCAATTAGTCTGATTAATAATGTCTAATTATTATGTGCTAGCTAGACTCTAGTAGCTATCAATGAAGTGGCTAAGCAAGTGCTGAAGGGACACCCAGCCTTCGATCACCAGGCCAAACCCTTGGAACCATCGGGGCGGCAATACATCGTCATATCGATCGGGGCAGGCTCTTGCAAGAAAGAACACAAGTACAACGCCAGAAAGGCACGAAAGTGGGGACTGTTTGATTGGCTGTTCAATGGGAACTCCATTCCATTAATGGAAGCTTTTCATCAAGCTAGCACAGACATGGTTGATGTCCAGACCTCTGTTCTCTTGTCAGCTCTTCACTCAGACGACAACTACCTCCGAATCCAAGTGTGTTACGTTGTTTTTGTTGTAGTGTATAAGATTGTTTTGTTTTTTAACTTCAGACTTTTTTCTTTAAACTTATATTTTTTGGGTTTGCGTGAATGTGTGAGGGTGCAGGATGAGACGTTGTGTGGGGCTTTGTCAGCAGTGGATATGGCGACTAAGGAGAATATGGAGAGGCTTGTGAGAGTTGGGGAGAATCTATTGAGAAAACCAGTTTGCAAACTTGATAGAGTTACTGGAGAATATAAGCCCGTCCATAATGGAGGAACCAATATGGAAGCACTTAAAAAGTACGTACATCGTTGTTCCACAAACACACACACACACACCAAATAGTAGGGATATATGAGTTTGATATATACTCACTAAAATTTTTAAATAGAATGACTAGTACTTTCTTTGTCTCATAAAAATGTTTCTCTTTTGACTTTTAAAAAATTTAAGAAAGCGATATTTTTGTGTTGACTTTCCAAAAATATCTTTGATGTGATAGTTAAAAATAAGATGTGATGGGCAGATTATTAATAAGAACGTATGATGTGATAGATAAAATTGCAATATAATCCTTCAAAAAAATATCATTGCAATCAGGGGCGGGCCTATATATGGGAGGTCCAGGGGTGTCAACCGACACCACTGAATTTTTTAAAAAACAGTATTATGTATTGAAAACAATTTTTTATATAATTATTGTGTTATTTTGATTTATTTGAATATTTGAGGAAAACTTATTACTCCGTATATTTTGTTGTGTCTTATTGTGTTTTAAAAAATTAGTTATCTACCACTGTAATAAATATTAACCTCAATATTTTTTAATGCTGTCATTTTTATAACTAATAATAATGTCATTTAATTGTGTTATTTTAATTATTTAAACGTTAATGATAAAATTTATTACTTTGCTTTTTTTATTATTTCTTATTGTGTTTTTAAAAGAAATTTGGTGACACTGTCTCCGAATTCTTGTCACATGCACACAATATTCATCTGAGAAGTTTTGGCCCAATTACTCTTGGCACCGCTCATTGAGAGCCTGAGTCCACCACTGACTGCAATGTACTTTCTTTTTTTTCGTTCTTGACAAAAAAAATTATTTTTGAATTAAATAACTAGTACTCCCTCCGTCCCAAAAAGTATGTAACGTTTAGAAAAAACTGCGTCCCGCAAAATCCGTTACATTTCTATTAAAAAACCACTTTTACCCCTTACTTTTTTATACCCTACCTATCACATCATACCTTTTTCCTAATAATCTACTCATTACATCCTACTTTTACTCATCACATCAAGGGTATTTTTGGAAAGTCAATAACAAAATATCCCTCCTTTAATTTCCCAAAAAGTCAAACCGTCTCATTCTTTTTGGGACGGAGGGAGTATAACCAAAGAAGATCATTACAATATACTCCATTGACAGGTTCGCAAAGAAGATCATTACAATATACTCCATTTATATATATATATATATATTATTGACAGGTTCGCAAAGATGTTATCAGATGAAAGGAAATTGCGGCAATCACAAATGGCTCTCCCTTTGAGTGATTACATTCATAGCTAGCTGATGAGTACGTATTTATGACTCTTATTTTAGACTTCCCTATTTGTTTGAATTGAATATATGTACCCTCCTCACACCATAGCATAGTGTCTCTTAAAGTTCTTTCTCTATTGACCTTTTGAGAATTTATGAAAGAGAATTTGCGATCATTTTTTTATCTTTAATAGGGAGTATTTTTTAATCACATAACATAAAAGATCTGTTAGAATATAAAAAATATTTTCTTGGCCACAACCACAAGTTTGAGTTTTTGGTTGAAATGATTCATTGACATGGTATCAGAGCCTTATCAACTAAAAGGTCACGGGTTCGAAACTCAACGCCACCCAAATTAATAAATCTATGTTTTCACGTTCAAGACTCGAAAAAGACTACGCCTGCACGTGAGGGGGCGTAGTAAAAAACATTATTTCCTTGGCCACAACCACAAGCTTGACCTTTTGGTTGAGTTGGTTCATTGACAAGATCTCCTCTCACTCTTAGTATATTTGTCTATTTTAACTTTTTTTATCTTGTTGAAAATGTTCAAAATTTAATTTCAGTATACTAAAACGAATTGCAAATCGAGAAAAAGTCAAAATTGAAGAATTTGAACTGAACAAATGTATTCAGGCAAAATAGTACTTAAAGAATGATCCTGAAAACATGACATCGTACTCAACTTTAAAAAAACTAAAAGAGAGATCAGACAAGTTGGAGAAGAAAAGGAACAGACATATTGAAGAGGTTATTGACGAAAGTAAGGTAAGAAGCCCAAAAGGGCAGTTTTAAAACTAAAAGAAAGAAAAGTTTTTGGGCCTATAATTTTGGATCCAACAAGAATACGACCCGTCCCTTTCCAACCCCGTCTGCACCCGCACTCCCATTATACGGAATCCAATGCCTCTCAGTGGGCCCATACGGACCCAAAAATTAAACAGAATATTTCCTCTTTTCTTTTTTGAAAAATGTTAGGGATACACCAAATTAGGTGTACTCTATTTGTCCCCCACCCCTTTCTCCACCACATAAATAGGCAAAAAACTTAAAAATAAATAAATAATGAAAAATGAAATAAAAATGTGTGGTGGAGAAGGGGGTGGAGGACAAATGGAGTACACCTTTGGTGTACCCATAGCATTATTGCTCTTTTTTTTTACTTAATTTCTCCACTATGGAATCTAAGGATGGTTTCTGATAGGACTAAAACATAATAGAATTAAAACATAATGACTAAAACATAATTTCACTTTCGAGTAATTTACTTAAATAGGACTAAAACATAATGACTTTTCGAATATAGGACCATATATTTTTATTTTCCAATGTAAGACTTTTGTTCATTATGAATTAGTCATTATTGAAGTAAATGTCCATCATTACTGGACATTATTCATAACACTAAGACATTAATAAGTCATATTTAGGGAATAAAAAAGTTTAAGTCCTAGATTAGGAAAGTCATTATGTTTTAATCTTATTTAGTGCAAATTTCACTTTATGATTCTCCTGATAATCTCGGGGATGAAGCTCATCTTTTTGAATTCGTGGAACGCGCACCCCTGGCGCCTCCACACCCCAACCAGCTAAAGTAAGTCATGATATAATCTTAATTTAATCTTTAGAAAAAATGTTTCGTGTCCGGTGGATACAAAGAGTAATTATAAAGAATAGAACTCTCAGGCTAATGTTGTTGGATTTGGTCCTAAGATCAATAGCTTGACATCCTCTTCAGCTAGTAGTTGGATTCAGTTGTTGTTGTTGCCTCTACAACTTACATGTGGCCATGCATGTAAAATAAAGCTTACACAAGTACCGGTGAAAAAAGGAAGGAAATGTACGTAAATACTCCGTACACGTTTTCTGCTTCCCCGCCCATTGATTATTGGTTGTATTTTATTGTAGGGATAAAGAAAACTCCGTTTGTTTTCAACTTTTCACCAGTGTTGACCTCTTTTCTTTAATTAAAAAAATCAGCTTGATTTCTTCTTCAATACTTTTATATTGATTTCTCGAGTTCTCAAAAACTGAATATGTATAGATATAAGTAAATACTCAATCCGTTCTAAAAACAATTGCAACATTAGATCAAGCAATGTTAGAGTCACAAATAATTTAGACACAAATTATATAAGTTTATCATTTGTGAATTTAAATTTTAATTTTTTAATTATTTGAAATCATTTAATTTACTTAGAAAAATGCACAAATTGTAAGTTTGTATAATTTGTGTCTAAATTGCTTGTGGTTCTTCCATTACTCGCAACATTATGTTAAACGAAGCAAATCTTTCTCTCTTTCTTTTTTTGCCATCCAAAAATTACTTTCCTGTTTCTTATTTTGGCAACATTATTATTTTAATGAATGTACTATTATACTCTTACCTTTTTATCTACATTATTTACTTAATTCCATCACATTAAAAATAAAATATGAAAAGTCTTTATTAAACTTTTTAGTTTTTTCTTAATCTCTGTCAAGTAAAATTGGAAACAAAATTTTTGTCATTAAGATGGTATTAAACAATGTTTTTCTTTAATTTTCTCCACTTATTGTCATTAAAAATTATAATATCCCATCTTATTTTTTAGAGTGTTTGATCTAATTTTTAATATATGATCAAGTTTTTATACCATTATTTTATAGCGTACATGATCAAGCCTTTTAATATAAATTTATTTTAAAATTTTATACCATTTTTAAATAATTTGAATTTAGAATAGCAATCAAACTCTATTTTTTTTTTAGTGAGACTGATTTTAGAGGGAAGAGTATTATTTTTTGAAATAGTTGAAAAACTAGTTGTAGGACAAGTCGCATGTGGCAGAGTTTATTTCCATGCCGAGCCCATTTCAATATCGTATTTAATCCCACATGTGCTGTTTACCTCCATTTCGGCACCATTGATATAATTACAAGTTTGCCCCGAGTCATTTTTTAAATAACCTCCCCGCAAAAAACAAATTCCTGCCCCCAGTCAAAAAAAATTCAAACTAAAAACTGATAATTATACTCCCTCCAACCTAAAAAATGATACACGGGTATTTTATTTCCTTATTTACTTAAATAGAACTAAAACAAAATGTCTTTCCCAATATAGGACTATATGTTTTTACTCCGTATTTCCCAATGTAGGACTTTTGGTCATTATGAATTAATCATTATTCAAGTAATGTCCATCATTACTAGACATTATTCTTCCCACTAAGACATTAATAAGTCCTATTTAGGGAATAAAAAAATTTAAATCCTAGATTAGGAAAGTCATTATGTTTTAGTCCTATTTAGTGCAAATTTCACTTCTAAAAAGTCCCATAAAAGCTTGCTTGTTTAGAAAAAATGATATTCCCTTCATCCCTAAATAGATTACAAATTGCAAGTTATGAAGAAAAATTTTTTACTTTCTGAAATTATTTTATTTACAAATTGATATACTAATAAGATATAAGAATTACATATTAAAAAACTACGTCAAAAGTTCTATAAAATTTTATTTTATCAAACAAAAGTTATCGAGAGGAGAAAAAAAGTTATAATCTATTTAGGGACGGATGAAGTATTTTATTCCCTTTCTATCTTTTGCACCATTTTCAATCACACATTTTAACTTTTCTAAAATTTTATGTCAAGTCAACCAAAAATGATATAAGAAGTCACAAGTTCAATTCTCTCCGTAGGGATAACTCTCAAAATATCAATAGGTTGAAACAGTGGCGGAGCCAAGAAAGACTTCATGGGGGGGGCAAAAATTCATTTAATAAATAAACAAAATTCATAACAGTAACTACCATAATTGGCTAAGTACAATTAAACATACCTTCTATTTGTGCAAAGGAGTAAGAATTGTTTGAAGCCGTAAAAAAATTTTTCAAGATGCCAACTTTTGAAAGCGCTGCATTATAACTTCATCATCAATGATCCTAAAAATTTCTTTCTCAAAGAAGCACACCAGACAATATGATAAAAGCTCATCCCCTAAACAATTGCGTAAATCAGTCTTAACAAAATCTTTTTCATTGTCTCTATTACTTACAAATTCTAAATTCTTCTTTTGTCTAGTAACAAATTTATTCATCTCACGTCTCAAAATTTCTCGATTCAATAATAAAGTAACAAAATAACAATAACCTTAAAAGTTAAAACAACAATTTCATATATCTTAATCTCTAGAACTTGAAATTACATTAACATTTATCAAATATTTAAATATCAACAAACACACTACAACCACGGAACAAAATAAATATTCAAAATTCAAAACCTAATTTAGCAATATTCAAAAACTCAAATATTAAGAAACAAATCTCAAAAAATATCGGTCCTTCAGCAACCTTCGCCCGGAATCTGGAGTAATTGTCTTCCGTCTTCTAGAGTTCAGCAATCGCCAATGGCCAATCAGCAGCATTCGTGTTTTTTTTGTTCAATCCTCATCCTCCGTTTTTAAAATTTTTTGGGCATTTGGAGATTTGGGTTACTGGCAGTACTGGGCCGTGGATTGTTGGGCTAGGTCAAATGGATTTTTTAAACCCATTCACCAAAACGACGTCGTTTCGTTCTATATTTTTTTTCTTCCGCATCGGTTCATCTTCTCCGCTGGACCCTGCCCGTCTGCCGGCTGGGAAGCCTAGGATTTCTTCGCTGCAACGGGGGGGGGGGGGGGGGG